TTGGCACCTTTGGTCACACCTAAGCGGAAGCTATAACCCTTTCCCTTCCATTCTAAGCCCAGCAAAGCTTAGTTTACTTGTGTAATTCCCATCCACCACTTGAACCACTGTAATATGGCTTCTGTGCTTCAACCCACAACCAAAACCATTCTTGGTAAGGTCACCAATAACCTCCTATTCTCCAAACATCTTGCTTGTCTCTTCATGGTACTTTTGTCATATTCTGCCTTGATATCCTTTGTACCTCTAGATGGCACTTACCATCCTGCCTTCTTTTCAAATGTTAAAATGCAGTGCTCCACCATCTTCTTTGTCTCTCTACTTTATACATGTTTTTTGTTTGTTTGTTTGTTTTGGGTACTGGGGATCGAACCCAGGGGCACTTAATCACTGAGCCACAACCCAGCCCTCTTTTGTATTTTATTTAGACACAGCATCTCACAGAGTTGATTAGCGCCTTGCTGTTGCTGAGGTTTGCTTTGAACTTGTGATCCTCCTGCCTCAGCCTCCTGAGCCTCTGGGATTATAAGCATGGGCCACTGCACCAGGAACATACATTATACATTTCTCCTGAACATTCCCTTTTACTATTACCTTTATTAAAATTCTTAACTTTGCTTCTCTAGATTTGATCTTTTGCCAGAGTACCAAGATTTATGTTTATAAGAACCTGCAGGAAATTTCCATCTGGATGTGCTGTAGGTATCTCAAACTTAAATGTACCTTTTCCCCTCCTGACCTTCCTGATATTCCCCCAAATCTCTGCTTCTTTACCCCATTTCATATCTCAATTCAAAGTCCAATCCATCCCCCAAACCAAAAACCTATGGATTTTAGGCAATGCATATATCCAAAATATGTTTCCTCCTTTCCATTCCCATTTTTACCCTACTGGGTTAAGGAAGCCCTTATTACCTCCAGTTTTGGAAGTAACAGGAAAATATCACCAGTCACTGTTCTAAGTCTTGTAATGTTAGTACATTAATATATGCAAGCCCTTCGTACACATTTAATGTTCCAAAGACAACACTCCATAATGAAGTTGCTATTCAGATGTCCATCCTATAGGGTACAAGAAAAAGATGTATAGAAGCATTAGGTGGCTTGTGTAAGGAAAGACAATAATTTAATTATTGTTAATTAAATAAAATTTAATTTAGTTAAATTAAATAAATTTAATAAAATTAAATAAATTTAATAAAATTAATTATTTCAAAGTTACCAAGACTGACATAATTTTCTCAATTTAAGTTTTTATAGGTGTTCCACTTCAGGGACAATGGGACAAATAAGAAAACACACCCTACCTACATATCCAAGTCTACTACTTGCTCTCTGTGAGATCTTAATCTGAGTTGATTTTTCAAATAAATTGAGGAAAAATATATTATCTAAATATTAGCTGATATGTAAATTGTAATAAAGAATGTGAATAGAAATATCACCAAAGTAAAACAAACAAAACAAACCAGGTGTTTCTTACTATACTACCAGCTACTTCTTAGAAATAAGTGGTGCAGTCTCCTCTTCTAAAATGCATGCATTCTGTCCTTCTTACCAACGTGGCTGCAGATGACTGAATTTTGTGGTATTTCAGGCCTGCATGTAAATGAGTCTCTAATTATCAGCTTGCCTAATTAATGATGTGTCACCATTATACACCACTGTAGGGTTCAGAAATGTTTTAAAATTAACCTGGGAAAAAAGAAGTCTGCTGCTTGAAGTTCTTTTCCTATTCCTCAACTAATAAAGGGGAGGATGATAAGACTGTTATTTGATAAGTAAATAACATGTGTCTTTGATAACTCCCATTCTTGTATTCTCTCATAAAATCCTAACAACCTTAGACTCCGATACGTCTTGGGTATAGAGAGGTTAAGCTTATGGTAGGACAGAATTTTCAATCCAAGAGGTTGTTCAAACAATTTCATATGCTATCTCCTTTGATCCTAAACAGCAACTACTAAGTTAGGACACAAAAGATTTTGCCCATTTTATAACTCACATTCAGAGCAAACATTTGCATTCTCACCAAGTTTAGGGGCTGTAAATTTTACATATTAATAAGAACTACGGTGGTCAGCATAGGTACAGTTGCTGGCTTAAGAGAAATGTCACATCTAATTTAATGTATAGTGTTAGAAATGAGGACAGTGGTTACTTTTGTAAATAGAGAGAGTACGTCTGGAAAGGGACAGAAGGCAGCTTCTGCAGGCCAGCAATGCTCTATTTCTGAACTCATTTTTTTTTCAGTAGAAATTTATGGCTATGTATTATGCTACTTCAGTGTAATTTCCCAAGAATCTTAACACTTCTTTATTCTCTGTGCATTACATTACAAAAATACTTTTTATTATATGGGGAAATAATTCAGTTAGCTTCCTTGTCTAACAAACCAGAATTTTAACATTTTCATATGGCTTACCTAAATGCAGGACTGGGGATAAAGCTCAGTGGTAGAGTACTTGCCTAGCACACACAAGGCCCTGGGTTCAATCCCCAGCACCACAAAAATAAACATAAAATAAAATATTAAAAAATTAATAAATACATTTAACATGTTTTTTTCCAATTACCCCAGTTTTTCCCCCAAATCACATCTGTATACCCATTTAGAAACTTATAACCTAATTTGTTCTTAAAAATTTATTTTGTTTCTTAGGAACTTCTGACTTTATATGAATTCAGGTATCCAGAAAGTTTCTTATAGAATATCCTGTCTACCAAATCCTAAAAAATTCTTATGAACTTCATTTTAGTTGAAAAATGCTTCTTTTAAAAAGTATCTCTCTCCCTAATCGCTCCTTCACCGCCCTCCGACCCCCAGCTTTGTTTTTTCTCTTCTTAGAGGCTCCATGGTATTTTTGAGGAGGCCCATCCTTTTTCTAGTCAGATGGTTCCTTCTCATTCACATGTGATTAGTCCAGGCCACACTTGTTATCCTATCAGTTTTACAGAAGCAGCCATGACCATAATTTTCCTCACTGACAATAAACACATCCACTCCAGTCACAGCTAACTACCCCCACCCTCTTCCTGGAAGAGTCTCTGCCAAAAAAACCCAGTCATCTCAAGGCAATCCACATTCAGCAGTATTTATTTATTAAGGAGAATGTAAAAACAGATATTTGGCATCACCAAATTCAAGGAACAAGATCAACCTGTTTACTACTTGGCTAAGACTTGCCTTCTGACCCTTTGCATCTGATTCAGGGAAGTCTGAAAACTTTTCACTGTGATTGGCTAGGCAAGTGGCAAAATGCTAGTGATCAGTGTTGACAACTGGATGTGGTTAGAGCCAGACAACTGTTTTTCCCTTTAATCAAGTAAACTTCTTTTTGCAGGAAAGAAGACGTGTCAGGCAGTTTTCTTCATAAGAATCCTAAAAATATATAAATGTTCAGTATCCATGAAACCATGAAAATGGCCAATTAGATATAATAATGTGTATATACTATATCTAAGTATTACATAAATATTGTATATTTTATATTTTGGATGATTAAGCCAAAAATTTGTCACTTTTTTTACTTAGTCTTTTCTTACTGCTATACTAATTTTTCCATTTCTCTTTCATAGTTTTAAATGATTTTAAAAAATTGATTAAAAAAAAAACAATGGCATAACTACTGCCGTATAAAGTTGCAGCTGCTGCTAAAACTAACCTACCTGCTTTGTCTCTGACAAGACCTCTCTAATGGCAGAACATATGTAGTCATCAAGTGCAACCTAAAATCTATAATCTATACCTGAGTGTAGATTATACACATATGTAGTTTTTAAGCATTTTGTTTTTAAGCATTAAACAGATACTAACAAAATGTCATGTTTATGTTGATCTATAACTTCCCATGGTAACTTTTATTGGAAATTGCTTTAACAATATAAAATTGATCACTCTCCACTTCCTCAGTGAAAAGCAAACTGCTGTATGTTGTATAAAAAGTATTTTATTTCAAAATTGAATGAATAAAAATAGGTTTTGTAATATTTGTTCTTGTATCATAATTAATTTGTTTTTGAAACTAAAATATGAGTGCTTTTTAACAAATCATATCAATTTTAAGAACAAATGATTTTTTGAATAAAATAAACTTAAGAGAAAAACCATCAAATATGTTATTCAAAATGACCCAATAATTCACCAATCTATTTGTAGAAAGTTATAAAATGACAGCTTATATTTCCCTTACCTGAAATGCTTGGAACTAGAAATGTTTCAGATGTGGGAATTTTTGAGATTTGTTAATATCTGCATGAAAATTACCAGTTAAGCATCCTGAGACTGAGCCTCAATGTCACTGTCAGAAAGTTTCAGATTTTGGAGCATTCTGGATCTCAGATTTTGCATTAGGTATACTCAACCTCTGCTAGAATTAGAGATATATATTACAAAATTATGAAACAAAAAAGAAATATATAGTTTATTTGTTTTTTAATTTTTTAGTTTTAAATGGACACAATACCTTTATTTTATTTATTTTATTTTTAGGTGGTGCTGAGGATTGAACTCCGTGCCTGACACCTGCTAAGCAAGCACTCTACCACTGAGCTATAACCACAGCCTAGAAATGTACAATTTTAAAGTCATCTGATAATGTAATAAAAAAGATCCATGTAATGAAATTCAGACATAATTCAGTTTGTTTGGAAATCAAAGGATTCTTTTTTTTTTTCCTCTCCTTTTTTAAGTGGTATTTAGGATCAATCCCTGAACTTAGTACATGCTAGCCAGGCACTCAACCACTGAGTAAAGGATTCTTACATTTCAGGCAAATAAATGTTTCCCTTTCTAAGGGTATATTTTAACATTAGGCTCCCATGTGCATGTGTGTGTGTGTGTGTGTGTGTGTGTGTGTTTCCTTTAACACTGCTAAGAATTTTAACTTTTAGAGAGATGTCACCACTTTGAGGTCACCCCTTTGATGCATTAGTGCTGGCTCATGTTATTAAAAAAATAAAACATCATACAAGAAAAGAATAAAGTCCATACACAAAGGTGGCACCATACGCTCAAGTTTATTGTACAGTCACAAGGTACACATGGGAAACTAAGCAGAACACTGTATCAGCTTTCACTAACTCAAACCAAGTTAGCAAATGACAGATTTGAGGAAAAAACTCATTTCATGTCTCACCCAATGTGGGTGATCACAAGAGAAGCTAAATAAAGATGATTACTTTCTGTGTTACTTAGGTAGCAAATTATTTTAATATATACAGCTTCCAAGTTACCTTAAGATATTTCAAAGTGTTTCAAAGCTGGTAAGGAACAGTTCATATTCAGCCTGAAATAAACCATAGAATGGAGTGTTTAAGGGCAAATAACTTCTTTGTACATCCACAGCAGAAACATTCTTTCCCACTAACAGAAATACTACTAAATCTCTGCTCTTTAGGCTTACTAAATTAATGATAAATTTGATATTAGCTAGGTTTGGTTACATTGTTATATTGCACTTGATAACAATGACAACGAAAACCACCAAAGATTCAACACCTTTTCCAAGAAGTTCATTAGGTATCAGAAATTACAATAAAATACAAGAACATATTCCATGCTGCATATCCAAAAGTTCATTGTTCAAACTCATCATTCGACAGGTTAAAAGGAAATTTTTCCAAAGCACAGATATATTAATTAATTTCATTTACTTTTTGGATCCCATAATTAATTTATCAGATTTTTTTGTTGTTATTTATCAAATTACTAGCTATGCAATTTATCCAAGAGTACAAACAAGCTGACACTGAGATAGGCAATGGCCACACCACAGGTATAACAACAACCTCTTCTTGTCCATCCGGCTCATCAACAGAGTAACGTATATCAACTTCACATTCTGTTTGCTTTACAAAAACTAGCTGATTTGCTATATACTATAAATGTGCCCCATAAATCTCTTCTTAGGGTCATGATTCAATATCAAAAATCTTTCTCAGCTCTCTTAAAGAAGCCAATATACTCTCTTTTATCAACACTTGGATTTTCTCTTTATATAAATATAAATATGATATTCACGAGAATTAATTATGAATAAGTAATTTCATAACACAGGCATAAATGTGGCAATGACATTCTAATTTGTTTACCTTTTACAATGACAAAGAATTGATCAGAATTTTTGATAATTGATCATAAAAGAAAGGAAAATGAAAAAAGTGACCCTCACACAAATTTTCTCAAAATACCAATTCCAAAATGAATACCCTAAAAAAGAAACCAATATCAGTATCAATATTTCTCAACTATGGCAAATGGTTTTAATATCTTCTAACTCATTTTTTAAAAATTCTCAGAATAATGAGAATTTTCTACTTTGAAATTAATTTTAATTTTCAATAAATCACAAATACGGTAGTATTTGAAATGTTTGACAACTAAAATAGATTCCATAGAACTATTTTTTTTATTATTATTTAGTCAAATATACTCATGTGCCACTTTAGGGTAATAATCCCAACATTTTCCTCAGAATAGACTTTCAAATTATACTCCATATTTTTGTAGAGATATATGTGTTCATTTTTGAAAGAAAATCCATACTATTACCTAATACTACATTTCATAAAAGCAATTTAAAACATCTTGTTAATTTCCAACTACAGCATCTTTCAATCTCCAATAGAAATTCCTTGAGATAGAGTTCATAAAAGGAAAAGACTAAATGAAAGCAAATACTAATACCTACTGAAGAATGAATTTCTATTCAGAGTGTATTTTTATAAATGACAGCTCTTAGATGGAAAAACAAATATGGAAAAAGTTGCTATAGACCAACTTAGTGACTGCTTGGTGGTAGGCAACAATTGGCCCTAGGATAAAAATATTTTTTTCTTAAAAGAATTTAAATTTATTGGCAATAAAAATACTTATTGCATATGATTGAGATCTTTCAAGCTACTAATAAATTCTACATTCCAAAACCCATTAATTTTAAAACTCACTAAAGCTAAATACAAGTTTTTTTCTGTGTTCTAACTTGCATCTAAATGTGGTTCTACTTTGTGAATATATTCTCCAGTTCAGATCATTCACTTGTGCTTATATAACACAATATGGCAAGATAAATTGCAATTATTTTTAAAATACAGAAAAAAATAGTCAATTATTTAAGGGAAACATTTATCATTGCCTAATGAGGACAGCAGTTAAAAAGCTACTAAAGTCTTAATTTCTTGAGTACAACATGATGTAATTGCACAAAATAGGGATAATTAAAAGTCATCCCTAGGCCTTGAGGAACTGTGAATAAATCATACATTCCACCAGAAGATTCACCACGCTGCAGGCATATAAAACTACAACTTGCTGCCTATGCTGCTTTTATTAAAAAAGTAATTTCTGTTAAAAAAGAAAAAACTTTAGAAAGCTTTAAAAGGTTTTCAATAAGTTGAACAGCTTATAAAAATACCTTTTTGTAGTTATTCTGATAACTGAGACTGGTTTTGCACATTACCTTGATTAAACTGAGGAACCACCCATGGGAGTAGCGTCATGCTACTGCTAGAAGTAAACCATGGAGCTACCTGAAGAGTTTTGATCTCATGAATTTCTCATGGGGTGGGAATGGGGACTCAGGTTCCTGTCTGTAATGAAAATGATCTTGACCCGTTATTGCAAGAATTTTAGAAATACAAGGAAAAATACATATATAGGAGGAAAATAAATTAATAACTAAAGACTCCACTCTAATCTAAGAACATACTATTAATAAAGTAATAGTCTTTCAATTAAAATGCTTTCTTTAAGTGTATTGTAAATAGCCAGATGAAAACAATGGGATAGATGTGCTTTGGAAATGATTTCCAACTTCGTATGGCTTTAACCATCAGGATATTGAGCTGAAATTACACTATTACATACACAAAAAGGTATTTTTGAATACAGACTACATTTTTATATAGGTTGGCTTAAAGGATTTCTTGTAGGACTTAAACTATACAAATTAAAGTAATAAAACAGATTACGGATTAAATATAAATAAAAATTAATCACATGTACCCAATTTTCATATTAAAACATTGTACCGTTATTATTACAGAAAAAACTTCTCCCCAGGGCTGGGGATTGAACTCAAGGTCATATATGCTAAGCACATGCGCAACCACTGAGCTAAACCTAAACACCCAGTTTCCAGGAAATAATTCTGGTGGTATCATAAATTTTTTAAAAAGTTCTACTATGTAACAGATATTAAAATCCAAGTTCAGGTAATTACAAAGCTTTTAGTAGCTTTACAAGTCAACTGTAGTGTAATATGTATTAAGTACCTGTACAAAAAAAAAATGTGAATGCTAAGGTCCAAATTTAGATTACTTTAAAACAACAACAATAAGCAGCAAAACCCAAAATACTAAATCAGAAATGAAAATTGTAATAGATACTATTTTATATAAAGTAGTAAGTGAGGCACTACCTGTCTTATGTACATTGAATAAAAACCATCACGTGAAATTTTATTATTTAAATATCTAGGGCAATGTATGTGTATGAACCTGTCTGAACTTATTTATAAAGAGAAGGGCAACAAATATTGCTCTCAATTTTGTGGTTAGACGGAAGTCACTGAGTACCTTCAGCAGAAGTCTTATAATTTTATTCCTCATGAAGGAAATTGAACTCTACAATCAAGCTGGTAATTCTAGTGATCTAGGATGCAGTATTCAAAAATCACAGTTAAGTTTCTGAGTTTCCTTCACCATTTTCATGAGGTTGAAGCTGTTCCCTTTCCTGTTCTTCTTGAGGTGGCCGAACACGTTTAAAAAAGCCCATCTGTCGGTTGAAGTAAAAACATTATTTTCACCTCAACATAGAAAACTAATAATATTTTCCCATATTTTCCTTAGTGCATTATAATTATACCAAATAGTGAGATTTACTGATATATAGTCATAGGTGCACACAATATAACATGATAATTTGTTCAATATTATTCCCCAGTATCTCCCCTTTCCTAGCTCTCCTCCCTCTTCCTAGTTCCTTTCCTAATTCCTACTGGTCCCTCTTCAATTTTCATGAAATCCTCTCCCCCCCAAAATACTTTTTTTAGTGACTATATTATAACTAAGAAGATTTACATAAAACTGTATGCAATTTCTCTTCCTTTAAATAAGTCATAGCATTATGCCATTTTCTTCCTTCCCTTGTTTCTTTTTAATCCTTCTTTCTCTCCCTCCCTCCCCATTTTCTTCTGTTTTCTTCCCTCCTTTCCTCCCTCTTTCTAAGTCCATTACGTACCCTGTACATTACGAAAACTAAGACAGCCAGCAACAGCAATCCTGCCAGAACTGCTAAAATGATCACCCACACAGGCACAGGCATGGGGGCTGGCTGGATGCCCCAGGTGACATTAGTGGTAACCTGTCAGGAAAAAAAAAAAAGATCTTTAGTCTTAAAAATAATTTATAGACGACTAAGTACTTGGGTGATGTTAAATTTTACAGTAGTCACATTGAATGCTTTTTTTGCATACATAATTTGGTGGTCACATGTTTGGTATCAAAGTATAAATATACACATAAAATTCTCAACAATAGAATAATTTCCAATTACATTTAAAATGATTTCTAAATATTCCAGTCCAGCCATTTACGTATGATGGCTGATCTCATTTTCAATCCTAAAAAATCTTCCAAATGCCTTCACTTGTTGCAGTGAATTTCACACTTTCTAATTTAATGGGAAGAAAATATCCTTAAAAATACCCCACATAATTTAGTATATACTAAAAACTCTCTTATATAAGACAAGATGTGACAGTAAAAGTCTAGTTTTGATAAATCTAGGTTGGAATAGTAGAATAATACTATTTTTAAAAAGGTTATAATCCTATCAAATAACTCTTCCATTACTTTAAATATCAAAATAGTTGAAGTGCCATTAAAAAATAAAAAAATGTTTTTAAACAATTAAGGTCTTTGAATGGAGTATATTTATCCTGTTTCCCTAAACCAATAACTTACTAATGTGGAGTTGAAGATATCCTCAATTGGAAGGTTTTTGTAAGGAAACTCTATGACATTAAATGAAGCAGATGACTTCAGAGAATACGAATGATTCTGGTTTTCTTTCTGCATGGAAATAACACAAAGATGATTTTCCAGATGTCAGACCTTTTTGATTTCTTTGGAAAAAAGTGGATAAATATGCTGTTACATATGTCTACTTACATTCATAAAGGTCTCAGTCCACAGTAAAGACTTTACGTACAGGATTGCACTCTTGCCTCTGTCTAGTCGTCCAACCTGGCAGACAATCCTCAAGCACTGAGCAATTCCACAACCCTGTCAAAACAAATGATTTACTTACCCCAAAAAAGAGGCATTCCATAATCTCTGCAACATTTAAATATTATACATTGTATTTTATTATTTTTATGTAAAGGCCAAAGAGAGATTATCTAGATTTGTTTGTCTTGTGGAATTAATGCTTAAAATAATTAGACTAATAGTTAAGACTGATTTTTGTAATGAAGAGGTTGGTTTTAGTGTGATTGGTTATAGAAGGATAAAACCTATAACTTAAAGACTTGTTTTTACAGCTAGAACTCAACATTCCTAAGGTAACACAGAGCATGAAAATCAGATCACAATATCCCAGTGCAAAAGAAAAGGAAAGCAAGTGAATTTTTAGTGGTTATTGTATGTCAGGCCTGTAGAAATCTAATAGCAAGCTGATGACCTCTGCCACACTTGATGTTTTTAATCAGTAACTTGAAGGCTGGTAACCAAAGAAAACAAATATATATCACCTTCTGTGTACCTGTCACAGTGCATTAAACAGATCACATGCATATACCTCATAGCAATTGCTATCTAATAAGTGGTACCACCAATGAATGGACAGGAACAGAAGTGAACTCCCTAGATCTGACAAAGGGCATCTACAAATTCCCACAGCTAACACCACTCTTAATGGTGAGACACTGGATATTTGTCTCTAAGACCACAAGCAACACAAGGATGACTTCTCACTCATGCCATTCCAGTCAACATTGTATGTAAGGTTCTAGTCAGGACAATTAGGCAATAAGAACATAATGAAAGAATGAATAAAAGCTCTCTCTTTGCAGCTGACAACATCTTATATATAGAAAACACTAAATAATACTCCCCAAAACTAATAAAAGCTAACAGGTACAGAAAAGTACAAGACACAAGATCAACATAAAAATATAAGCAATAAAAAAATCCAAAAAGAAAATTAAGAATTAAAAAAAAACAGCATCAAAAAGAACAACATACACAGGAATAACATAACTAAAACCTACATAAATGCAAGAATAGTACAATGAAAACAACAAAATATTACTAAAATCAAAGAAAAACTAAATGAATAGACAGCTAGTGTTCAATGATATAAAGACATGATATTTTAAGATGGTAATACACTTCAAGTTTCTGATCAGGCTCAACAAAACTTCTCTCAAGATTTCAATGACCTTTATTTGAAGAAATGTACAAGCTCTTCCTACAATTCATATAGAACTGCAAAAAAACCCACGGAGCCAAAACAATCTTGCAAAATAAAAAAATATTAGATGGTTCACAATTCCCAAATTCAAAACTTACTGTTGCAGAGCTATGGTAATCCAAACAATTTGGCTTTGGCATCAAGAAAACACACATGGGACAATGGAATAGAACTGAGAAAGCAGAAGAGGGATTACTAGGGACAGGGAAGGGTGTGACATTAGGGACAGCAAAGGGAGAAGAGGGACATGATCAATGCACAATGTGTGCATGTATGGAAATATCACAGTGAACCTCAATAGAGTTAATATGTGTTATAATAATGCAAAAAGTAAAATGGGATTGTAATAAACCCAAACATATCTATGACCACTCTATCTTCAATAAGGATGCCTAAGCCATTTATCTTTTCAATAAATAAGGCCCAGACAACTAAACAATCACATGCAAGGAATGAATTGGAACCCCTACCTCGTGCAACATACAGAAATTAACTCAAAACAAACAGATGTAAATATAAGAGCTATAGGAGTAAAATTTAGAAAACTAGAAAACCTAGATGTAAATTTTATAACCTTTTCCTTATTGATGGTTTTATAATTTTGGGAGGGGTGGTACCAGAAATTGAACTCAGGGACACTCAACCACTGAGCCACATCCCCAGTTCATTTTAATTAGGGACACAGTCTGTCTCACTGAGTTGCTTAGAGCCTCATTTTTGCTGAGGCTGGCTTTGAACTTCCATCCTCTTGCCTCGGCCTCCCAAACCAGGGATTGCAGGCATGTGCCACCATGCCCAGCTATGGTTTGAAAATATAAGCAACAAAAGATGACAAAGATAAACTGAGCTTCTTATATTTAAAAACTTTTGTGCATCAAAGGATGCCATCAAGAAAGTGGAAACTCACACAAAATAAGAGGAAATATGTGTAATCATATATCTAATAGAGATGGTATCCAGAACATATAAAGAACTCTTTGCGACTCAATAATAAAAGATAGGGGTGAAAAAACAATTTAAAAGTGGACAAAGGATTTTAAGAGACATTTTTCCAAAAGAGATATACAAATGAAAATTTGTATATTTTGCTCAGCAATGTTAGTCAATAGGGAATTGCAAATAAAAACCACAATGAAATAGTGCTTCACACCAAATGGGATGAAAAATTAAAAACAATCCAACAAAAACAAGACAATGACTAGTAGAGAAATTGGAAGCATCATATACTGCTTGTTGAGAATGTAAATGATGCAGACATTTGTTTTGTTTTGAGACAGGTCTTGCTATGCTGCCCAGTCTGGTTTTGAACTCTTAAGCTCAAGTGATCTTCCTAACTCAGCGTCCTGAGTGCTGGGATCCACTTTGGAAAACAGTTTCTTCAAAAAGTTACACACAAAATTTCTATATACCCCAGTTGTTTCATTCCTAGGTTTATTCCCAAGGGAACTGAAACACATGTCCACATAAAAACTTTTGCATGAATATTCACAGCAGCACTATTAAAAACAGACAAAAAGTAAAAACAATCTAAATTTCCATCAAATTAGTGAATGAATAAACAAAAGGTAGTATCTACACAGTGGAACATTATGCAGTTATAAAAATGAATGCAGTACTCACACATGCTACATCAATGAATCTTAAGTGCAAGAAGCCAGACACAAGAGGACACATATATCCACTGTCATAATTTGACATGTTAGTATTCCAGAAAGAAATGGGTAAATGTGTCACAGGGCTATCTGGACAAAAATCATTTTAGGAACTGCAAGAGCAGTTTTCAAAATCTGGAGGTAGAAACATGCTGTGGTGGTTCAATAAAAAGCCAGGTGGACACAGAGAGAAGGTGGGCACGTAAGCACAGGGGGCCGGCAGAGAAGGAGGCAGACTCTAGTCATGATAAGCTTAAAGGCTGTGTAGGCTCTGGGGTTTTTTGGTTTGTTTTTAATTTTCTTTTTAATTAGATGGGAAGGCACTGGAGTGACATGACCTGACTTATAGTTGAAAAGATCACATGGATTCTGTGTGGTGAATAAACTGCAGAGGGAAGAAGGAAAGTACTCAGAGATCAAGTGAGGGTTTAGCAATAGTCCAAACAAGAGAAGAAGGTGGCTTGGGTTAGGTTGTAAAAGTGGTGGAGCTGTTGAGAAGGGGTCAGATTCTGAGTTATTTGAAAATAGATATAGACTGAATTGGCTGAAATGTAAGATGTGCGATTTGAGAAAAAAGAGAAGATGCAGGTTTGAACAGAGAATGGAGTGGATATTTACGCAACATGGATCACTATGGAAAGAGCAGAGTTCAGAAAACTCCAGGGTCTATTTTTATTTTTTTCTTTTGTTACAGCATTATAATTATATATAATAACTGGGTTCATTTTGACACAGTCATACCTGCATGTAATTTGATTTAATCCATTTTAGTCCCAGGAACTCTCACTTTTCCTCCCTTACTCCTTCCTCTACTCTGTTCCTCTTCCTTTCACTCACTCATTTGTTTTTGATTGGTACTTTATAGGTATACATAAAGGAGGAATTCACTGTGGTATATTAATACATGTACACAGAGTAAGTCTGTCAAATTCATTCTGCATTTCCTCCCCTTTCCCTTCCATTCTCCCTCCCTCTTGATCTCCTTCTAACCCCACTGGTCTTCCCTATATCTTTATGATATTCGACTTCCCACTTTTCTTCGCTTACTTTGTTTTAGCTTGTGCATATGAAAGAAAATGTTTGACCCCTGATTTTCTGAGTCTGGCTTATTTTACTTAGCATGATGTTCTCTAGTTCCATCCATTTACTGGCAAATGCCATCATTTCATTCTCCTTTATGGCTGAATAAAAACTCCGTTGTGTATATATAACACATTTTCTTTATCCATTCATCTATTGACAGGAATCTGACTGGTTCCATAAATACCAAGGAGTGGGATGGCTAGGTCATATATAGTGGTTCTATGCTGGTCTTTTTGAGGAATCTCCATACTGCTTTCCTGAGTGGTTGTACTAATGTGCAAATTCATCAAGAAGTATGATGTTGCCCACATCTTCACCAACGTTTACTATTATTTGTATTCTTGATAATTGCCATTTTGATTGGAATAAAAAAAATATCAGTGTAGTTTTGATTTGCATTTCCCTGATTGCTAGAGATGTTCAGAATTTTTTCATGTATTTGGTGGCCATCTGTGTTTCTTCTTCTTCTCTTTTTTAAAATATTTATTTAGTTAGTTGTAGTTGGACACAATACCTTTATTTTATTTATTTTTATGTGGTGCTGAGGATCAAACCCAGGGCCTCGCACATGCTAGGCGAGCGCTCTACCACTGAGCCCCAACCCCAGGCCTGTGTTTCTTCTTTTGAGAAATGCCTGTTTAGTTCTTTTGCCCATTTCTTGATAAGATTGTTTTTTGATTATTTGGTTTTTTGTTTTGTTTTTTTTTTTTTTTTGGTGTTGAACTTTTGGGTTCTTTACATATTCTGGATGTTAATGCACAGAGGAATAGCTGGCAAAGATTTTTCTTCCATTTTGTAGGCTTTCTTTTCATGCTCTTAATTATTCCATTGCTGTGAAGAAGCTTTTTAATTTGAGATGACTTTCCACTATTGATTATTGGTTTTAATTCTTGACCTTTAGGTCTTCTTAAGGAAATCAGTGCCTATACCAATATGATGGAGTGTTGATCCTGTGGTTTCTTCTAACAGTTGCAAAGTTTCTAGTATAATTCAATTCTAATTCAAAGTCTCTGCTCCACTTCAATTTGACTTTTGTGCAGTGTGAAAGGAATCTAGTTTCATTTTTTCTACATACAGCTATCCAGTTTTCCCAGCACCATTTGTTAAAGTGGCTACCTTTTCTCCATCATATATTTTTTGGCACCTTTCTTATTTATCAGATGGCTGTAAGTGTGTGGTTTTGTCTTTGTCTCCTCTATTCCATTCTATTGGAATTCATATCTATTTTGATACCAATACCATGCTGGTTTTGTTACTATAGCTCTGTAGTATAATATGAGATCAGATATTGTGATGTCTCCTGTATTACTCTTCTTGCTCAGGATTGCTTTCCTTTATTTTATTTATTTTTATGTGATGCTAAGGATAAAACCCAGGGCCTTGCATATGCAAGCTGTACCACTGAGCCACAACCCCAGCCCCAAAACTGTCATTTTGACAATATAAATTCTGCCTATCCAACAACATGGGAGGTCTTTCCATCTTTTAAGGTTTTCTTCAATTTCTTTCTTCAGTCAGTGTTCTATAATTTTCATTGTACAGATCTTTCACCTCCATGGTTAGATTAATACCCAAGTTTTTTTGTTTATTAGTCATTGTGAATGGAATAGTGTTTCTGATTTCTGTGTCAGCAGAATCATTGTTAGAGTATATGAAAGCTATTGATTTATGAGTGTAGATCTGGTATACTGCTGCTTTACTGAATTCATTATCATCTCTAGGAGTTTTCTGGTGGAATTTTTTGGGTCTTCTAGATGTAAGTTCATGTCATCAGCAAACAGAGATAATTTGACTTCTTTTTCTGTGTGTATTCCTTTAATTTCCTTCTCTTGCTTGATTTCTCTGGCTAAAGTTTCAAGAACTACATTGAATAGATGTGATGATAGACATCTTCCTCTTGTTCCTGATTTTAGAGGAAAAGCTGCTTTTCTCTGTGCAATATGGCTTTGTCAAATACAGCTTTTAAAATATTGAAGTAAGTTTCTTCTATTCTTAGTTTCTCCAGCATTTGAACATAAATCAGTGCTTTTTTTCATCTATTCTGATAATCATATGGTTCTTGTTGTTAATTCTATTTAAGTAGTGAATTATATTTATTGATTTGCATATGTTGAACCAATCTTGCATCCCTGGTTGAAACCAACTTGGAACATGGTATATTATCTTCTTGATATGTATTGAATGCAGTTTGCTAAATATTTTATTAAGAATTTTTGCATCTATGTTCATTAGGGATACTGGTCTATAGTTTTCTTTCCTAGTTTTTCTAGTTTTGGTAGCAGGGTTTTACTACTTCATAGAATATATTTGGAACTATTCCTGCCCTTTCAATTTCGTAGAATGATTTGAGAAAGACTAGTGTTAGTTCTTCTTTAGAGGTCTGATAGAGCTCGGCTGACAATCCATTTGGTCCTGGCCTTGTCTTTCTTGGAAGATTTTTTAATTGATGTGTCAATTCCATTACTTGATATCAGTCTGTTTAGGTTTTCTATATTTTCCTGGCTCAATTTGGGCAAGAAAATGTGCCTAGAAATTTGTCAGTGTGATCTGGATTTTCCAGTTTATTGGAGTGTAAGTTTTCAAAACAGTTTCTAATGATCCTTTTGACTTCAGAAGTTTCTGTAGTAATATTTCCTTTTTCATCTCTAATTTTGTCTACTTGCATTTTCTTTCTTTTGGTTAGTTTGGCTAAGGTTTTATCAAACTTATTTATTTTTTTGAAGAACCAACTCTTGGCTGGGTGCAGTGGTGCAAACCTGTAATCCCAGCAGCTCTGGAGGCTGAGACAGGAGGATAGAGTTCAAAGTCAGCCTCAGCAATGTCAAGGTGCTAGGCAACTCAGTGAGACCCTGTCTCTAAATAAATACAAAATAGGGCTGGCGACATGGCTCAAAAAAAAAAAAAGAACCAACTCTGTTGTATTGATCATGTGTATTTTTTTTATTCTCAATTTCATTAATTTTGGCCCTGATATTATTTCCTGTCTTCTACTGATTTTGGAATTAGTTTGTTCTCCATTTTCTGAGATCTTGAGGTGGAACATACTCTTATTTATTTGAAATATCTCTAATTTTTTAATGTAGGCACTCAATGCTATAAATTTTCCTCTTAGAACTGCTTTCATACTGTCCTAGAGATTTTGATGTGTTTTATCTCTGTTTTCATTTGTTTATAAAAATTTATCCTCTGATCCATTCCTCATTTTTAAAAATATTATTCAGGGCTGGGGTTATGGCTCAGTGGTAGAGCAGTTGCCTAGCATGTGTGAAGCACTGGGTTCAAACCTAAGCACCACATAAAAATAAATAAACAAAATAAAGGCATTGTGTCCATGTGCAACAGAAAAATATTTTAAAAAAATAAATAAATAAAAATAAAAATAAAAAAAATAAAAATATTATTCAGTTTCCATGTGTTTATGGGGTTCCTATTATTTTTCTTGCTGCTGATTTCTAGTTTCTTTCCATAATGATCTAATAGGATACATGGGATTATATCAATTTTATAAATAAATTTTATTATGTCAAATTTATTTTTGTATTTAATAAGTCTTACATTACAATTTAGAACATGGGGTATTTTAGAAAAGGTTCCCCAGACTGCTGAGAAGAAAGTAAATTCAGTTGTTTGGGGTGAAATTCTGTTGATGTCTAGTAAGTCTGTTTGATTTTTAGCATCATTTAGGTTGGGAATATCTTTATTGAGTTTATGTGTGGATAACCTTTCTATTGGTGATAGGCATGTTTTAAAATCCCCCAGTATTATTGTATTATGGCCTAATTGGTATTTAATGTCAAGAAGGTATTTTTTTGTTGTTGTCGCTGTTTAATACAATTAGGTACATTGACATCTGGAGTATATATACTATCTTTATGTCTTCTTATAGGATTGTTCCCTTTACTAGGATATAATGGTTTATTTTGTCTCTTCTTATTAATTTTTGCTTATAATCTAGAATATAAAAATAGCTACTATTGGGCTGGGGATGTGGCAGAGGTGGTAGTGCGCTTGCCTGGCATGCGCGGGGCACTGGGTTCGATCCTCAACATCACATAAAAATAAAATAAAGATATTGTGTCCACCTAAAAAACTAACAAAAATAAATAAATTTTTTTTTTTTAAAGAGAGAGTGAGAGAGAGAGAGAGAGAATTTTTTAATATTTATTTTTCAGTTCTCGGCGGACACAACATCTTTGTTGGTATGTGGTGCTGAGGATCGAACCCGGGCCGCACGCATGCTAGGCGAGCGCCCTACTGCTTGAGCCACATCCCCAGCCCAATAAATATTTTTTAAAAATAGCTACTATTACTTGTTTTTGGTCTGCATTTTCAGGAAATATTTTTTTCCATCTTTTTACTTTCAGTTTATGAGCATCTTTGCCTATAAGATAAGTCTCTTGCAAACAGCATATAGTTAGATCTTGTTTTTTAATCCATTCTGTCACTCTATACTTTTAACTGGGGAGTCGCAAGCATTTACATTCAGTTGTTATGGATAAATGGTTGTTATTTCCTGACATTTGTTGTTATTGTTATATTTAATTTGGTCTTGATTTTCATTTCGTTGGTTACTCTTCTATGATCTTGGTCTATTTTGCAGTTTAGGGGCTAGTTTTTGAGTTCTTCTGTACAGTATATCTCTAAGTATTTCCTAGAAAGCTGGCTTAGTTGTCATGAATTCTATTAGTTCATGTCTATCATTGAAAGTTTTTATCTTTCTATCAATTCTGAAAGATATCTTTGTTCAATACAGCAGTCTTGGCTGACACCTGTTTTCTTTTAGAGTCAAGGTATAATTTTAGAATAAATTTTACTATTAGATGTTTAAGAAAAGTTCTAATTGGTAGTTGGATATTGGATTTTAGAGTTTAATACAGAGGATTAGGTCAGAAATATAATTCAAATTCTTGTGCACCGGATAGTATTTACAACCATGAGACTCAATATGATCACCTGGTGTAGCACTGTCCAAAAAAACTTTCCATGATGACAGAGTCATTAATATAGAGATATGTATGCTGCTTGATAGAAGAGCTGCTAGCTTCACAGGACTGTTGAACTCTTGAAATGTGGCTGGGATCAATACTATCAGTAGTATAACCAGCACAGATCAAGTGAGTGAATGTAGGTAAAGCAGAGAAGAAGGAGCAGCTAGAAGTGGCAGATTGACAACCAGAAGAGAATAGCATCCTAGAAGTAATTAAGTGAGCCAAAAGTGAATGAACTAGGTGAACATGAAGAAGGAACACAGAATTGATATAAAAGTAATTAATGATTGGTACTCAACATAAACACTCCAAAGCTTCTTTAGTGGTGGTGGTTTGCAGGTCTGCTAATTTTCAAAGTTAATGATGAACTCCTTTAAAGCATAGTCACAGCATGATCTCACTCAACAAAAGTTAATCATGTTAGTTATTCTAACATATTTTCATTGAAGTCTTCTGGGTTCTTTCTACAGTATTATACTAAAACCTCAAAGATCAGGATGAGACAAAGAAAGAGGTCAGTTAAAAGAAGCAGAATCAGAAAAAATAATTTGGAACATAAAATATTCTTATCAGCAATTGACAAATCACTTAAAAATTTGGCATTAATTTGACTAGGAAAAAGAAAATAGGAGGACTGAACAGTTTAAAATATATGTAGTTCTTTCAAGCACAGCTGCTGTTATTTTTGAAATGTTCTTTGGCATCAGTCCTTTAATCACATATTTTCAAATGTTTATAGTTCATGTACTTGAAATGGCACTTACCAAAGTGTGAACATCTCCTTCACTAAGGGCGAGATCTCGCTTTGTGATGAGATGGTTCCGGTCACCTTGCCCAGCAATTGTGTCATTCTTCTCAGCTGTTTGCAAAGATGAGATCTGTATTGCATTGCAAAAAGGTGATAAATAATAATGGAAAACATTTTATATCGACATTTTGACAAAAGGTTCTTATATACAATTATGCATGAAAATTTGGTGTGACAGAAAATTCACCAGTTAATATGTTGAGAAGAGTGAGGACAGAAAATATAGTCTTTAATGTGTCTTTAAAAAATTAGCTATCCCTAGCAATTACTGTCTCTGTCATTGCAAAACTAAAAGGGAAACGGATGAAAATACATAGAAACACCCTGAAATTCTAAAGTACATCTGTGATGAGTATTAATTTTGAGCATATTTTTTAGTTTTCTTAACTTTCCTTGAACCATGTTGGGCAATAGCTTCTTACAGAAATTTATGTTCTAGGATGATGATGACTATGTCTTAGAGCATATTTTTATATTCTATAAAATGATATTTTCATAGGTCATGTAAATTAAGAAAATCATAAGCAAAATAGTATATCTTATTCCAAAGATAAAAATTCCAACAAAAGAACAGTCTTCAAACAATATTATACACTGGATAAACTAAGATGTGATATATCCAAGGTCAAATCAACTCACTTAGAATATCTTCCAAGGCTTAATAAACACTCCATAAATGTGGTTCACTAGGACTTCATAGAATTCATTATTAACCATTTTACAAATAATCTAATTCTTAGTGTATTGGTTATGAATTATAATATTTTGGCAAAGCCTATGCAATAAAATACTGTTCTATTCATGCATTTCACAGGTTTAATAAGAAAGCAATAAAAAGTAATCATGATGAAGAGGTGCTTAATAGCTTGGTTACCTTGATTCTCAAAGGGTTGATCTCCATATCTGAAGTACAGTTCATTGGCCCATCGATGTCATAATGAAGGATGTACAACAAAGTGTTGTTGTTATATTTATAAGGCCACTGAAGATTTAGCATGGCTTTGCTGAATGAACTGGGACCATTGTTTCTCAGCTAATGAGGAAAAGAAATGTAAATACCCTAGGCAAAAATTTATTCTATAATCCTTCCCATGTGCCAACTTCAGAAATCATTTAACAACAGGATTTGAGTAACAGCAGAGTTGCCAAAAATAGACTCTAAATTACAACATAATCTTATACAAAGAATATCAAACTCAACATTTGTCTCTAGAGTAACAGGTATCAGGATGAAAATATAAACAAAAGAGTTAAATATTAAATATTAAAGAGTTATTGATAATAAAAATTTTCACCCTATGGAAATAAAATTGTGATTATTAACTGTAGGCATTTTCAATTTTTAGTCAGAACTGCAAAATGCCCATGGGAAAATACCCAATGACCTAATTCTTTTATTCAAGTAGAATAAATTGGTTTTAAATAACGAATTATATCAATTACCTTCTTTAAACACTTAAAGCTTTTTATCTACTGAAAACAAACTTATAAATAGGGAAAAATTCAAAGAAATATAGGTACACCATAGGTACATACTAAATCTATCCAGGGTTTACATAAAAATTACATATCATTGATTTTAAAACATAGCTTAGTTGTTCTCTTTGTTGGCTCTCTCACTAGGTTTCCCTTAAATCCAACAGCTGCAAACCTCATAAATGTGCTGAACAACTGGCCCAACATCTTCTTCAGTCTCAGGGTTCTCCTTGTGCTCCCAATTTGGAATCGGAAGAAAGATATGATCAGGACTTGAGACTCTAAACAATGACCAAAGAAAACCTACCATGAATATCAAAATGATATGGTCAGTTCAATTTCAAAACTATGCTGTATTCAAATGAATAAAATTAGACCCAGTAACAAAGAATATTAAAAGGAAAAACTAGAGAATGCATACAGATACCATAGCTGCTATTATTAAATCTACACATAACAGGTAAATTGGAAAGTCAATTTGTGCAAAATCTCAGTAAGCTTATTTTGAGGGTATTATTGTCATGTCTTGTTTCTTTTCAGAGGACTGGCAAATAAATATTTGGGGCTTTGGAACATATCCAAGATCTTTTTAAAACAGAATCTCCTGCCTTAGTAATGTACCACTAACATGGAGTATTTATGATCCAAAAGAAGGCTGAGCTTCACAGTTACATTTCAAAAGCAATCATGTCAATAGGATACTCAACTTAGTAATCATACTGACCCTCTTATCTCAACAGCAGCTATAACAGCAAGGTCAACTCTGTAAGATACAACTGGGCTTACTTTGTCAAAAAGATTAGAGCTGAAAAAGAAAAAGAACAAATTTAGAACAGAATTGGACAGAAACATCATCAAAATCCTATTGAGGCAAACCCAGCAAAACTAAAAATGAATAGATTCAAAGCAACAAAGAAATGAAAACCTTCTAAGTCAAAACAATTATTTTCGATAGCATTTAATTCCCAGAAGATGATCAAGTTTTATTTCTTAATGTTTAATTTTGTCTTACAAACTCAAAATTGACAATATTATTCTTAAAATGTAAATGTTGATTTTAAAAATCCTATAAAGTACTGAAGTTTTAATCTATACTATTCAAAAATATTTAAAATATATTATATAATATATCTGTAACACATTTCCTCAATAGTTATTACAAGGTAACACAAGGTACTTTCATACCTTTGGATTTGTAAATCAAATTTTACAGAAGTATCCATCTCTGATTGCTGGTGTACACTGAATCGAAGACCAGCTAAGAGCTGAAAGAGAGGAAAAGATGGTAATATTAGTCAAAGTCTAAACAAAAATGAGAAATTTCAAATCCAATGTCCAAATAAAAACCAATGTCCTAAAATACACTGTTTATAGTAAAAGTGAACACAGATAATTAAATATGGCTTTCTGTTGAATCTCTTATTTAAGATAAAATCCATAAGGGAATCTATTTAACAACAATTACTAATAATAATTACACCTCCTTGTGATATTAATTATCTTTCTAAAATGTGCAAAAGTAAATGTTTGTTGATTCAATTAATTAATTAGGCACAATGATTCGGTAATCGGAAGCTAACAACTGAACTGTGTTAATGGGGTAGGAAGAAAGAAGTGGAGGGTTTACCAGAGTAACAGGAGCTAGTTAAAAGAAGCCTAAGTCTGGCCAGAACCAGAATTGCTCCTCCTCTCACCTTTCACAAACCCCTCAGGCAACAAACATCCTAATTCCTGCCTGTCACAAACAAAGGAGTCAAGGTAAAGGAAAGAAGTCTTCTTGGAAATAATACAAATGACACAAAAAAAATGGCACCTCCTGGGAACTGCCTCCTGCTTTCCACTTTGGAAAGCCTGGAGCTGACAACTTGGAATGACCAGGAACTCTCTACACTGAATGGGCTGGGAGTGAAAGATCTAGAGAAAATACGGTTGCAAAAAAATTAAAAAGATGTTCTGTTGTTAACGACAACTTTGAGTACATACAAAGTAAAAGGACTGATCAGAGTATTTGTTCAAGCCCTCTTCCATAGACAACATACACATAAAACAATAATTTTTAGAGAAATATACACTTCAAGAAATATGAAATGTTTAGCTCCAGAGTGACACAGATCTCAAATTGCCAATATTAATGTGTCATTAAATAAATTAATTGTATTGTAAAAGCAACACTACGTAGACTGTCATGTTTTCCTTTATACTGAAATATAAGAGGTATATTTTGTTTCCTTTTAAATAGGTTTGGGAAGAGAGCCATTGGGTGTTTGCTTCTTTTCAAGCTCCTATGCTTCCTGCTCCACCATCTGAAGGGGCCTGATCCAACTCAATTTCCCTTTGATCTTCTGTGTGGGAACTGTAATACATGGCTTCAAGTTAATAAGTAGATTCTATCTCTCCTAAGAAGACAGTCCTGATATTTGCCAGAGTAGTTTTTGAGGATCCATTAAAGCATCACTTTAAAATACCAAAATTAAAATTTCAGTTCCTTTTTTTTGGTTTTTGTTTGGGTTTTTTTTTTTTGTTTGTTTGTTTCTTGCTAGGGATTGAACCCAGAGCTTTCTACATGCTAGGCAAGCACTCTACCAACTAAGCTACCTCTCCAGCTATAACAGTTCTTAATCCATGTTCTCATCCATTTACTAAACTAAAGGCAGCATCAAAAGCAGATTATTGAGTGCGGTACAATAGCACAACTCATTATTTTAGTATCTTGTTCAAACTGAAAAGAACTCTGTTAATTATGATACTCAAAATCAAAAACCAAATTAAAGACACCGTTTTGAAATGTTTTTGATCTTGTTGTTTTAATGCTATGGCCCAATGCAGAGAACAGCAAAGTATTCTATAATCCACTAGATTAAAGTGTCTTACTTGAGTTCCAGCCTTCATTGGGTTCCCCAGGTCACATACCACTTGGCGGGTTTGGTTTTCTGTCTTAAATGCACAGGAAAGTCTTGCTAAGTCCTTTGTTAGACAAAGAAAAAGGACGTGAAAAGGAAAATAAATTAATGGCTAAAAAAAAAAAAAAAAGTAGAAACCACAAGATTATAAAGTTACAACTGAGTATCATGCAGTTAGATATTAAATTTATTTTTTTAGTGAAAAAAATAAATCTCCACAAACATGGAATAAGAAGTCAGAACTGTGTGTGATTGCCACATATAAATGCAAAAGTGTTTCTGAAAGATCCCTAGAGGACTTACATACATAATCATAGTTCCTCTGACAAATAAATTGATGGACAGGCTTAGACACTTTATCTTTCTGACCTCATTTTCAGGCACTTAGCAAGCAATTTTTAAAATGTCGTATCAATGCATTATGTAAAGCATTAGGTTTAAAAGGAATTATATAGAATAGGCACTCTATTGTCTAGCAATTCAGCCTTAGGTAGAATGGCTAAGCTGTGTTTCACTAAATAGGGGAGTAGCTCATTAATGTTAATAAGACCTGTGAGTGCATTTCAATTTTTAAAGAGGTAGCTTGCTTACTTCACTATTTCGGACAACCCCAATGAAATCAGCCTGAGGTGGCATGGAAATGATGAGCTCAGCTTCATAGGCACCTTCTCCTTGATTCTGAGCCTTAACAATCAATGTGAGAGGGTTGTCGTCTCCAATATAGATCTTCTTTTGATCACTGAAAGTTAATATGAATTTAAACAGTGAAAAAAGACTACATGGGGAGCGTATGGCTGTTCAAAGAAACAAGAGATAAATACACAGACAGCCCCAACATGTTCAACAGTGTCTCAAGATATTTTAAGACTTCTTCACAGTTCAATAGAAAACAGAAAATAGCATACTGGGAGCAAGTCCAACACTTCTCTCTGTAAAAGAAAACACTAATGCCATGATGCCACTAATAAATCACTGGCTTTCATATTTATTACTGAAGTAATTTTATATCTCTGCATGTACTTTTGGGGTGGAGGGGAAAGGATGGAGACTGAACCTAGGGCCTCACACATACTAGGCAAGCACTGAGTTTACATTCCCAGCTATTTTTTAAATTTTGAATCAGGGTCTCACTAAATTGCCCAGACTGGCCTCAAAATGGTGATTCTCGGGCTTTGGCCTCCTGTGTAGCTGGGATCACACGTATGTACCACCATGCCTGGCTCAGCATGTACTTTTTTTTTTTTTTTTTTTTTTGTGGTGAAGGGGATTGAACCCAGGGCCTTGTGCATGCAAGGTAAACATTCTACCAACTGAGCTATATCCCAGCCCTGCATGTAAATTTTAATCCCCTAATTATTTTCCAAAAGCATGATTTTTACAATAATCTTTTTAATGTATATGCTATAAAACATGGTAAGGATGTGCTTGAGTCAAGAGCATTCCTACAATGAAGTATATCTTCAAGATGACATATTACTTTGTGATAGTATCCAAAGCTAAATGGTCACAAATCTGTCAAGCTAGGCAACTAGTAAAAACAAAGTAGATATTTTTTTAAGTTCAAGATTAATAGCTTTATTATTATATAAAATCATGTATTACTCCCTAATATAACTAATTCTCATTAAAATATTAGTACTTTGAATAGGAAAATGTGCTCTGTGATTTGAATTTCTTACGGTAATGTTTATTGTTTGGAGCAAAACTTACCTATTTACAGAAACTTCTAGTTTGGGTTTACAGACATTGTCTTCACCACAGTCAAGTAGAATATGAGCCTAGAAAAAAAATATTTATTTATCTACATGAAAAGAAATGCAGGTTGCATATGCAGTGTATATCAGTACATATGTGTATAGGCATGTATGAACACATGTGTATTTATATACACTCATCAACTTGTTTGTATACCTGAATTAAAAAAACCATTTATTTACAAACAGGTCAGTGTAGCTTGTCAAAAATGAGAAAAAAGAATAATATTAGTAGGATATAGCATAACATTTGGACTTTTTTAGTTTTATCTCACTTTAATTGCTATTTTGAAATAAAATCTGATATAGAAGTAATGATTAAAAATTGAGAGATTCATTTTTGTTTTGTTTGATTTGTTTTTTGCAATACTAGGGGTTGAACCCAGTGCTCCTCTACCACTGAGCTACATCCTTGGGTCTTTTTTATATTTTGTTTTGGGACAGGGTCTCACTATATTGCTAGCCTTGAACTTGTGATCCTCCTGCCTCAGCCTCCTAAGTAGTTGGGATTACAGGTGTGCACCACCATGCTAGGCTGAAGGTTTTGACTCTGCTTACAACTAAGTTGTGTAAACTTAAGCAATATAAACCCCTAGAATTCCTCACTAAAGAGTGTGCCTCTGTCAATGTCTTGGAAATATGGCTACAAAAGAATAAAGAAACGGAAAATATACTGGAGCCATACAACAGGAGGACCAAAGGGGGAAAGAACTGGTCAAAATGATGCAGCATGTCCATGGCCATTTAGAAAGAAATAAAGGAAAAGGAACCAGAAGTGTTAGAATGACCAGAATAGGTACAACAAGAAAAATCTGAACTTTTCCTTATCCAGGTCTGTCCAGGAGAATGTGCTGGATAGAACAGTATGGAAAAAACCCAAAGAGAAATAATGGAAGGTGCAGAATATGTTGGATAAGATGTGAAAACAGGAATATAAAAATTGAGAAAAGAAGGAAGGAAAATTCTTGGTTTGTCTACTCTTAATATCTAATGGGCTTCATACCCAGCAGCAGATGAAAAGAAGAGAGAAAAGGATTTAAAGGAAAAGAATGATGAAAGGAATCATTTAAAAACAGGTGATGATTGCATACTTCTAAGTCACAAGGGAAGTGCAGTTACCTGGAATAGAATTACTTGATAGGAATGCTAATTGCCAATTTAATTGGGATGAAACCCCAAAATATATGGAATTAATTCAATTACTAGATGCAAGCAGTTGCCATAAGCATCAAGAAAAAAGAAAAGGTCAGGATTGTTAGGAGAATTTATGGTGATTCTGTAAGTCACACAGACTGTGATAAATGAACACATGGCTAACTACCACTTTGCAGGGTAGGAAAAGAACTAAGCTGGCACTGGAGCTGTGGTTAAAACATTATCAACAGGAACACAGCATTCCTGAATGACTACAGAATAATTAAGTGACAATGTATAGAAGAAAAGCAACAAACAAACAAACAACCAAGTTACCAGAAAAGATAGTTTCAGAAGTGGAAACCCACAAAGCAATGTCTTCTATGTCCAGAGAACCAAATCTCTACGGTTATATACTTAATATCTCTCCTTTCTTTTTTTTTTTTCCAACTACTGGAGATTGAATCCAGAGTTGCTCTACCACTGAACTACATCCTTAGCCCTATTTATTTTCATTTTGAGATGGGGTCTCACTACATTGCTGAGGCTGGCCTGGAACTTATGATCTTCCTGCCTCAGCCTTTAGTTGCAGGGATTACAGGCATGTGCCACCATACCTGGAATTATACTTAATATCTTGGACTAAGCAAGCATATGATATACATTTGAATGAAAAAAAATGGGGGGAATAACCATTCCTTCTGCAGAAACCACTGAATCTCCTACTGCAAAAAAGGAAGCTTTTGATCTGCACTAATATAAGTAGCCACGTAGAAGCCAAATGTGGCCCTTGAGCACTTGAAACTTGTCTTGTGTGACTGAGAAACTGATTTTACTTAAAAAAACTGATATTGAAATCCCTTACTGAAAAACTTTTAGTATGTTTAGAATAACTTGAGCACATATATCTTTTTCAACTATAAATTATATGAATTCTAAATAAAAAAATTTTCAAAAAAATTTAGCATCTGGATTTATATATATTATAATTGTACAATATGTTCTGAATTTTGAAGAAAGTAAAAAAACAGAATGTAAATAGTTTGCTGACAATTTTTAAATCGCTTACAAGTTAAAACTATAATATTTTGGATATTGTTATGGCTGAATTATATTTGCCCAAATTGTATGTTGAAGCTCTATTCCTCAGTACCTCAGAATGTGACTGTATTTGAGATACATTCTTTAGAGAAGTAACTAAAATGATGTCATTAGGGTAGGCCTTAATCTAATATTACTCACCTGTGCTTCTTAAATGATGAGTCTAGGATACAGACACATGAAAAGGAAACACCATGTGAGAACAGAAGAGAAGGTGAGCATCTATAAGCCAAGGAGATAGGCCTTGGAAGAAATCAACCCTCGTGACCCCTTGATCTTGGATTTCTAGCCTTCAAAATTGTGAGAAAATGAACTTATGTTATTTAAGTCCCCCACTCTATGGTACATTGTAGTGGAAGCCCTAGAAAACTAATACATACCTATTATTAAAATTAACTTCTAATAAAAATTAACTTTGAAAGATAGCACAATACTGACGGACAGACCTTAAGAGGCATAGACGTCCACTACTAAATTGTTAATCAACATAACACTGAACACCTACCAAATTAGACAATATAAACACAGAGCTATATATAACAGGCTCTCTTGAAATAGATAGTATAAAATGGCATATGATTATTGATATACAAAATGGATTCTTAAAATATAAAAGTTACAAAAAACTAAACATTTTTTTTAAAAACTTGCTTTATGCTGTAGTTATATAGTCCTCTCAAATTACCCCCTAAAAAAACCAAAAACCAAATGAGCAAGTCATGAGATCCTTTAAAGGAAAATAAAAAAGAAATGACGAGGGGCTGGGGTTGTAGCTCAGTGGTAGAGTGTTTGCCTAGCATGTTGTGAAGCACTGGGTTCAATATTCAGCACCACACAAAAATCTATAAATAAAAGTTAAAAAAAAAAAAAGAAAGAAAGAAAATAGAAAGGTCAATCTATATTTAGTTTAAAGAATTTTATGGGGAAAAAATATCAATCCAAAAATATGAACATGTTATAAAAGGAAGAAACAGAAAATAACAATATTTAAATATATTTAAATACATGTTTTTCACAAGTTTTTCTAAAATTAAAATATCAATCTGAAGTCTTATGTTCTTGTACTTAGCCTATGTACTGAATGATTATATACTATATATGCATATTGGTGTAATGTGTAAATACATATATACCTATATACACTTTAAAAACAAAATGTATATTAAAGATGTATATCAAAGGTATTTAGCAAAATACTAAAACGCTACGTAAAGAATGGAGTTTTGTTGTTTTCCTTGAATTATTTTATTATTTTATGCATATGAAATGTGACCCTGGCTTTTTCTGCACACAACTAAGGTCAGAGTGGATTTAAATATCTCTGACAGGAAAGTTCACATTTCTACCCCTCTGACTTATTTAACTAAACATCTACCAACATTATAAAAGCAATCCCTTATGATATTTAAGAACACAAATTATAAGAACTTAATAAAGATCCCAGTATGTAGCAGGAGCACACTGGGAGAGACAGTACCTGTCGACTGAGGTTAGCAGGGGTGAACTGGTTCAGGATGGGACGCAAGCCTGTGGCATCAGCGGCCGTTCTATAATCCAACCGATACTCCATAAAAATAGTAATTGGAGTAAGTTTGTCTCTAAATTCAGATTCATCCTAGAAATGGAAAATCTTCACATTAAAGATGGTATCAACTTAAAGTATCTAGAGAAATCTACAAATGCACAACACAAAGCCAGCTAATTCTATGAAGCTAGTCTAATTAATACCTCTACTTTTCCTCATTCATTTAAATTAAATGGCATTGAAGGATATACACTTACATTCACATTTTGCTTCTGTGACATCTAGACATTGTGATATGTAGTATTTTCACAATGATTCAATTATATATTTCCAATATAATCTCTTTTTGACCCTTAAGTTATTTAAAACTACATTTCCTAGGAACTCAATTTCCTAAGTTATCTTTTTGCTATTGGTTTCTAAAAACTGTTGCTACCATTTGGATGTTAAGTGTCCATGTGATAAAGGCCTGGACGCTAGGGAGGCACTACTGAAGAAGTGGGGAACCCTTTAAGAGGCCTGGCCTAGCTAGTGTCAGGTCCTCAGGTCACTGGAGATGCCCTTGAAAGGGACTGTGGGACCCCAGTCTCTTTCTCTTGCTCTTTGCTTTCTGGCTATGAGGTGGGTGGTACTGCCCTGCCTCATAACTTCTTTCAGAATTACAGCTTCACTGTAGTCCTAAAAACTTCAGGGTTGCTCAACCAATCATGGGCTAAAACCTTTCAAACCTTTTCTTCTTATACGTTGATTACCTCCGGTATTTCTTATAGTGATGGAAAGATAACACAAGTACATTGTGATCACATACCATATTTCCTATGATATCTCTTTGAAATGTTTAGATTACCTTTATGGCCTATACGTGTGTTGAGGGGCACAGACAAGTCAAGATGGCACCTGGCCCTTTGCCAGGAGGAGTGGTTTGAGAACACCAGCGAGCCATTAAGATGATGGAGATTCCTTAATGACTGACTGCTGTGTCTAGATTATGTTAATTAAGTTAAGCTGTGTATAATTATTAAGATAATGAGGATTCCTTAATGACTGATTGCTATAACTGGATGATGCTAAATTGAGTCAAGCTGTGTATTCAGTTATGTATAAATACCTCTGCTGTCCTACAATAAGGCCGCTCCCGCTGTATCAACCTTCACAAGTTGCTCGTCACCCCCAGTTATTTTGCCCAGCCAGACTGCTGCATACATAGTCAATTTTATTCCTGATCAATTTCTACATTCTCTAATTATTGAGTTTCAGTGCTGAATTCTACATGGGTCTGTGAAATAAACCTGTTAACGATTCTTAATCTTCTAAAGCTTTAGCGATATGTTTGCCTTCTTTTTAAAATTTCCATCTTTTATCTGTGGAAGCAGTTCCCCTAAAATATTCAGATGAATATGAACCACATTCTTTTGTAATATGATTAAGGGAAATCCATGAATATTAGTAATAAGAACTACCTTTGGTTTTTAGATTCATGCCAGACTATGATTTTACAACATGTAAGTATCTTATTAAATACTTACAACAAGAGAAGAAAATTGATATTATTAATACTCCCTTTTTAAGGATAAAGAAATTTGGGTTTTGATAAGTAACTTGTGCAAGGTCACATATTGAAAAGAAGTATTTACAGGTCACCCTGACCTCCGTATAGTCTTTTCTTTGCATCTTCTCTTGCTGTAGTCAAGATGCACCTCCATCCTAAGGACACTTTAGCTTCATGAAAGTGTCTAGACCTAATGAAGGAGTCTCAGATTGCAGAAGGCCCTGGAGAGTCTGAATCCCTAAGCTGGTGCCTGAAATTCCTACTCACCCTTTCCCCAGTGCCCATCCTTGCCAGCAGCTTAGGCTCAAAATTTTGCTTTCAACTCACAATTCAGATTGAGCTCAGGGGTTTAGTTGATTGCTGACTCTTTGGACCCTGGAGATTTCCTTTACTGTCTTGAGTCCAGCAATATTTAATAAATATCCTTATCATAATTCATTCAGTAATATTGTTGTTGAAAGGCCATCTGCAGTCTGCCAGAAGTAAGATCCATGACTTCGACTGTCAGGTTTGACAACACTTGAAAGAGCCAGATTTCCTTAAGCATATTTTTTTTTGTGCTCTTCACTTTGGAAGTCATTTAGATGAAAATGAAAAAGTAACAATTAAAAAGAAAAGATAACAGAACACAGATGATCTCTTACCCGCAGATATGCTATCAGCTCTTCACACTGCATCTGTCCCCCTCTAAAAATTGTCATGTTCTTGGAGTGACCCGGGGACCTGTTATGGAGAAACAGTGCTCGCCGAATTGCTCCCTTTTGCTTGAGTTTATCCAAAAGAAGCTCCACCTGGAAGTCTATATAAATCAAAGGATTTATAACCAATGTATTCTTTATGGACTTACCTCGGTCCTAGACATCTAGAATTTTCATGTCAACAGAGATATTTATTTCTGAGAAGTGATCTGCTTCAGATTCATTAAAAATATCTTTTAATGAGGGACACTACAACATATTAACAATGAATAAATTTACTATAATAATTAAATAATTAAGCCAACCATCCCCAAAGCAATATCATATGTAATTCCAAATAACAATGGCAATAAAATATAAAAGGAAAAATTCTTTTAGTTTAAGCTGTAGGAAGTCCAGAGGGTGAAATATATGTGAATTAAGACTTTCACTCTCGGAGGAGGACATAGCTCAGTGGTTGAGTAATTGCTTTAGTGTGCCTAAGGCCTGGGTTCAATCTCCAGCATGGGCCAAAAAACAAAACAAAACAAAACTTCTGCCATTAATCCAAGTGACAAGACTCTGTTGATTTTGATTAAGTACTCATTAATTGGAAACCACGTCATATTAAAACTATGGTAAACAATTTGTACCAATTGAAATTCCTGCTTTGAACGAAGCTACCATATCAAATGGTCAGAAAAACCTGTCCCTCATGAAGTAAGTGACTGTTTGATGGGTTAAGAATCACGTAAACATGACTGTGCAGAATCGGAAGCACAGTTGTTACAATTACCACTTTCTAAAATTCAGTTCTTTAAGTAGTTTCTTAAAAGCAGATGAGAGTATGAATTTTTAACACAACAGCTCTCTTTTCAAGTTTCTTTAAATACTGATTGACTTTCATTTCAAATTTAGGTGAAAACCCAGGGTTATTGTGATTCATGTTTGGTTCTACTCAGTCACACTGCTCACCTTGCAGTCTCTCAAACACACAGACACACTCCTTCCTTGGACTTCTTCTTTTTTTTCAGTTGTTGATAGGCCTTTATTTTATTTATTTATTTTTATGTGGTGCTGAGGATCGGACCCAGTGCCTCTCACATGTTAGGCAAGTGCTCTACCACTGAGCCACAATCCCACCCCTTCCTTGGGCTTCTTGAAATTGCCATTTCTTCTGTGTGAGCCAGTCTTCTGTTCCTGCAGGTCTCTATAGAGAAGTTACCTGCAGTGAGGTCCTGCTGGACTCAATCACATGAACACCTGCCCAATGGCTTCAGTCCTCCTCTTTGCTTTGTTACTCATTAGCACCTGTCACTATCTGATGCACTGGCAAATTCTGGCAATATTGATTAATATCCCTACTCTGCTCTCAGGATCACATCAATTGTTTTAGGAAAGGAAGTACACTCTGCTGGGTAGATTAAATTTAGTGAAGAAAACATTTTCTCCTCACTATTCCTAAATCATCTCTATTTCTAAGATTGTTTGGTATTTCCCAGAAATATAAAACTAGATATCTCAGTCTACTGAGATATCTATCATCTACTCATAACAAGGATACTCATTCCCCTCAGAGTTCATCTTACATCATTAAATGCTTACCTTTCTAAAAGCTATATTTATATATAGTGCATTATATTTGCTATTTTGTGGGCTAGTTTGCACACAATGTCCATTAATAAATATATTATTTCTCAAATGTATTTACTGGCTTAATAGTTGCCAAAGTAATTAGGTTGCCATCTTAAATGTGTTTAAGCATAAACATTCAGTTTAAAAACAATAACAATTTGAGTAACTAAGTATCCTAAACATTTTTAAGTGCTGTATATGTAAGAGTATTAAAATACTTTGATTTTTCATAGGATACTTACTAAGTTTCCTTGGAAGTGCTCCTTTGCCATCTGCCTTTAAACAGAACCTGACATTAAAACTGTAGGAAAAGAAAATATGTACATGTAAATCCTATAATCCAGCTTAGATATATGTAATATCATTCAAATCTCACATTTCTTATACAGTCATCCCTTGGTATCTGTAGGAGATTGGTTCTGTGAACTACCCTTCAACCTCCACAGATACCAAAATCAGTGGATGCTCGTTAATAAAACAGCACAGAATTTACATATAACCTACAGATATCTTCTTTCATACTTTAAGTCATTTCTAGATTACCTTTAAGTCATATCTACTTATAATACCTAGTACAATGAAAATGCCATGTAAATAGTCATTCTACTGTATTGTCAAGGAAGACACAATAATATAGGCAATAATAAGTAAAAACAAAAAGTGTGTACATGTTCAGTACAGATGATAATTTTTTTTTTCTATATGCAGTTGGTTGAAACCAAGAATGCAGAAATGGCAGGTGCAGAGGGCTGATGGTGCATAGTTAAGGCCAGGAAGCCCTACATCTTTCTTCATATCTTAATATTGTTCTTAAAACATGAAACTACCCAGACTAATTTAACTCATTCTTCAGTAATTTAAACATGTTGCCTTTCAGGGTACCTCGATGAGAAAAATAATTTCCTAACCTCCATTCAAATTTACAGAACCTGTTGATAAATCTAAATAAGGGAAATGCCAGTTAGATTTAAAATAATGTCTTCTATAATTAAACAAAAAAAAAAAGATCCACTGAAGCATCCTTTAATTACCAAGCTTCTCTAGAGGATGTGCTTTACAATATCTTAACAGGTCATGAAATCAGTGTAGTTGGCTGTATCCAGCATCTTAAAAAAGTGAATACAATAAAAAAAAGTTGATGTAAGTAATGGGTTTATAGGATTATGGTGCAAGGTTTAGTTCTAGCTGGGTACCATGGTCAAATTTAGATGAAAGCTAGTACTTCAATTAGTGCAGTTGAAGCCTTCTAATTATTAGCATAATTACAAGCATATTATTAGCATCTTCACAGAAACATAAAAAATGAGTGAAGGAAAGAAAGGCAGTAAAACTAAAAGCCAAAATCTTGAAAATAATTTGATTAACAATCAATAAAAATTAAGAGCAATTATTATAGAATGATTAATGTAATCCCATGAATAAACTAAAGTTTTCAAGATTTTAATGACATAATAATTCAAAACAAAATCAGGAAAATAACTATCATTAGCTCTTTTTAAATAAAATTTTCCTGGCTACCAATCATTTTCCTCTTCATCTATAATTCTTTGCAATTTTTCTGTGCAAGTAAAGAATGTGAACAGTGTTCCTCTAAGTGATGTTAAAGTACACAGGGCCAAAAACTTACAATAGTTAGTTTTGTATTTATTTTCACATATGAGAAAGATATTGTCTTTTCCATTGTGGGCTTTTTTTTTTTTTTTTTTTTTTTTTTTTTTGTAGATGGACCCAATACCTTTATTTCATTTTTTTTTTCTTTTAATGTGGTGCTAGGATTGAACTCAGTGCTTCACGTGTATGCTAGGCAAGCGCTCTACCACTAAACCACAACCCAGCCCTCTCCATTGTATTTTTAAAATACTTTGAGATAAAATATGAGTCGGTTTAAAGGAAACTTAAGAAAATTATAATATAGGTAGAAAGAAAATATAGCAAAAATCCTGAGTATCAAACACATGATAAACTTGGAAAATAATGGGGCAGAGAAGTCAGACACTATACTTATGAAAAAATATTATATTTTTCTTTGGAAACCAGAAAAGAAACAAGTAAAAGATCAAAATATAAGGGCAAAGTAATTTTACCATACAGCCATACAGATTTGAAATCTGAAAAAGAACATTATCTTTTAAAGATTTCATTTAAAGGGTTAGGTTTATGGCTCAGTGATAGAGTCCTTGCCTAGACTATGGGAGGAACTGGGTTCAATTCTTAGCACCACATATGAATAAATAAATAAAATAAAGGTCCATCAACAACTAAAAGAAAAAAATTTTTTTTTTAATTAAAAAAAAGATTTCATTTAAAAGGGCCTGTTTAGAATGAAATTTTTATAAAATGAGTTCTGAGATCTTGTCAGCTTTTTCTTCTTTTTAAATATATTCATTGACCATATATAATTCTTTAAAAACTAATTTTATAGTAATTTATTGAGTATTTCTGGAGCATTCTAGAAATTTTCCTTGGAACACTATTTCTATAAACATGGCTTAAACATGGAGTGTATCCACAGAAACTGCTTTAGTAATATTTTAGCCCTGCCATCTTAATTTTTAATTGTTCTTACAATAATCAAACCATTAATCATAATTATTATTAAACATATATCCTTACCAGGAAACTTTGAGAGCTGTCCCAGGCAATGGGCAGGTTTTATTGTCTTGATTTAAAATGCTAGGATATACTTCAAGGCCAGCATTTACGGTGATAACAGGTCTGGCCCTGTTTTTAAAAAAGGAAGAAAAAAGTTCAAACTTAGAAGCAGAAACTTGGATTGATCCCAGCATTTTAAGTTCACATTCACCATGATACAGTAACATCTAAAGCATTCTTTCTAAGAGCAAAAAACATTGAAACAAACTTTAAGTGTGAGATGACCAACTGCCTCAGTTTGCCCCAAACTTTTCCAATTTCAGCACTGAAAGTCCTGCATCTTGGGAAATTGCTCAGTTCCAAGAAAAGCAGGACAATTGGCCAACAAATCTGAACTCAGTCCATTAAAGCAGAATGCTTAAGTAAGTTACAAGGTCCCTACTTAATGCAATGTAATATGAGTGTCATAAATCCATCTGTATTGACATAAGATAATCTCTAAGGTACATCCAAGACGTAACTGTAGTAAAAGGAAAAAAAATCCCACAATAAAGAAAGAATGCCTACAGACACACATACATGTATGTACATGATTTCTTTTAATACATGAGTATTTTTTGTAGGGCATACCTAATAAACTAGTAATTGACATGAGAAAATATATTTTTATTCTATGACCTTTTTGCATTGTTTGAATATGCACCACATGCATGTATTACTTCATTAGCAGCAATTTTAAAGCTAAAACAATAAAATAGAGGTTAAGCACTCCTAATTGAAAAAAATCCAAAATCTGAAACTTTTTGAGTACCAACATAATGCTCAAAAAGTTGTGGATTTTGAACCATTTCATATTTCTTATTATAAGGGATGTTTAACTGGTAAAGTCTATGTAACTATTTCAAAATCAGAAAAATTCTAAAATCTGAAACATTTCTGATCCCAAGAATTTCAGATAAGGTATCTGCAACCTGTAAATATAGTTTTCCAAATTTCAAATATCCAAGTTTACATCTTGTACAAAAATACAGTAGACTCAAGTCAATGAGATTAACTCAAAATGACAAATCCCTGAAATCTGTAAGTACACACATTCCCCCAAAGCTGTAATTAGGTTGAGCCATCACAAACTCTACCACCTAGCATCGATGTTAGGTTTCCTACCATGCTTAATCTCCATCTGTAGAAATATTAAGCTACTTGAGATACCAGTTGATATTCTATGAGAATTGATGAAATAGAGAAAACTGGTAATATACATGAAGCTGGGAAATAGAGAAATATGAATTTTTACACATTTTTCTAACAAAAATATTCATGTGGGGATCCATTACATAATCACGGTGTTCACAGCATACTGGGCCACAAACACCAGTCTGGTTTCCTACCACTTACAGGAAAATACAGCCTATACATTTGATGTGGGGAAGGGGCTCACAATGGAACCCAGGATCTGGTACCTGCTAGGTTAAGTGCTCTACCACTAACTACATACCAGCCCCTATCCATACAGTTTTTAAAGAGAAATGAAAAGCATAGGGGACTGTCTCTGAACAAAATTTAAGGACAATGAGCAAAAACTCTGAACATTTTTCTAAATAAAAAAGTCTATACTGTTCTTTTCTTTGAGACTTCCTTGTATAAATACTCTTTACCCATAGCAAATCCTGAATAGAAAGAACAAACAAGTTTTATCCTTACTCTAAGAAAATTAAAACTGAAATTCAAACACTGGGACTTAACTAAAAGAATTTTTTAAAATTCAAAATATTCCCATAGTACAGAACATGAAACATACCTGTATAACACAGCTCGATCTACACCAAAAGCTCCTACAATTAAGTCTTAAGCAAAAACAAAAGAATATGTTAGTAATGATAATTGTTTTTAAAGCTTATGTGTCATTCTAGAAATGCTTAATGTACATAAGATTTAAATGTTTTCTCAAAACTAAAAGGTTCTAAGATAAGATATATGAGGATAAAACACTGGAAAACTATAATAAGTGTTCATCATTACAAATGCTCATCATAAACCAGACTTTCATTCAGGTAGATAAAAACTTTTTGTTGGCTATTTCATAAAAAGAGCACCAAAAAGGAAGTGTATAGCCAGCAAACATATACACTCCCCAAAAGCAAAAGCTTTACAGATGCCTGTGTATTTATACTTTTATTATAAAATTTTTCACCAGTTCTCTTGTTTTAGAAACAAAACCAAGAAAGCACATATATATATGTTGAATATGATAGCAGGCAGCACTCAAATCAGCAAGAATAAAATAAATTAGTTTTTATACATAAAAGCATAACTGGTCAATGATTTAAAAAAAAAACTGAAACCACAGATGCATTTTACAATATATCCAAGTTCAATCTAAGGAAACCTTTTCTAAGCAGAGAAGCATACAAGAGCAAATAAAGACAAACAGATTGAATTATATGAAAATTCAAAACATCTTTATGCCAAAGACACAAACATGACAAATTGGGAAATGTATAAAAGAGCTAAGGACTTAAAAATTGTCAATATTTAAAGCACTGCACAAGTTTAAAAATGAAGGAATGAAAGAAAGAGAAATTGCGTCTCAATAGAAAAGGAGAGAAAAAAAAAACATAAAAAGGAAATTCCAAAAGTAAGTATACAAATAAACAACAATGTTTATCTTCATTAATAGTTAAAAACTGTTAATTGAAACAAAATAATATTATCTGTGGCTCAGGAGGCTGAAACAGGAGGATGATGAATTCAAAGCCAGCCTCAGCAATGGTGAAGCATTAAGCAACCCAGTGAGACCCTAACTCTGAAAAAATACAAAATAGAGCTGGGGATGTGCTCAGTGGTCGAGTGGCCCTGAGTCCAATCCCAATCCCAAAATAATAATAATAATAATAATAATAACAACAACAACAATATAATACATCTACTAGGTACTCCAAATTATTTTAAAAGAGGTGCAGTATGGAAAAATGATTATTTTTTTACTGTTAGTGAGTGTTTTTGAAAAAGTTGACAAAAGCCATTTTGTAGAGGAAATGGGATTATTTTTTAAGGCTGTTCATAAAGTGTACATCTTTGACATACCAATTCTAGAATTTTGCCCTAAGGAAATATTCAGTGGTATGCAACAGAATTACATGTAAAGATATAAATGCCCTCAAATAAGGTAAAGTTAGATATGATATAGCTATTTATTAGAGAGACACATAAAATTTATGTTTTAGAAGAAAAATAGGGGAATTGTTTCTGATACTTTAAGAAGACAAAATATATAATAAACAGTTTACAAAACATGATTCTGCTTTGTTAAGAAATATGTATGAATGCAAGCCAGGCGTGGTGGTGCATGCCTCTAATCCCAGCAGCATTAATCCCAGGAGAATCAAGGGGTTTAAAGCCAGCCTCAGCAAAATCAGGCCCTAAGCAGGTCAGTGAGATCCTGTCTCTAAATAAAAATGCAAAAAGGGCTGGGGATGTGGCTCAGTGATTAAGTACCCCTGGGTTCAATCCCTCATACCAAGAAAAAGTAATAATATGAATGCATAGGAAAAATATGCTTTGCTGTAGTTTCTAAAAGTTCTTTTTTTTTCTCTCTTTTTTTAAATTTTTTATTTTTTTTTATTGGTTGTTCACAACATTACAAAGCTCTTGACATATCATAATACATTAGATTGAAGTGGGTTATGAACTCCCAATTTTACCCCAAATGCAGATTGCAGAATCACATCGGTTATACATCCACAATTTTACATAATGCCCAATTAGTAATTGTTGTATTCTGCTACCTTTCCTATCCCCTACTATCCCCCCTCCCCTCCCCTCCCTTCTTCTCTCTCTACCCCATCTACTGTAATTCATTACTCTCCTTGTTTATTTTCCCATTCCCCTCACAACCTCTTATATGTAATTTTGTATAGCAATGAGGGTCTCCCTTCATTTCCATGCAATTTCCCTTTTCTCTTCCTTTCCCTCCCATCTCATGACTCTGTTAAATATTAGTCTTTTCTTCCTGCTCTTCCTCCTTGCTCTGTTCATAGTTGCTCTCATTATATCAAAGAAGACATTTGGTATTTGTTTTTTAGGGATTGACTAGCTTCACTAAGCATAATCTGCTCTAGTGCCATCCATTTCCCTGCAAATTCTATGATTTTGTCATTTTTTATTGCTGCATAGTACTCCATTGTGTATAGATGCCACATTTTTTTTATCCATTCATCTATTGAAGGGCATCTGGGTTGGTTCCACAGTCTAGCTATTGTGAATTGTGCTGCTATGAACATCGATATGGCACCATCCCTATAGCATGCTCTTTTAAGGTCTTCAGGGAATAGTCCGAGAAGGGCAATAGCAGGGTCAAATGGTGGTTCCATTCTAAAAGTTCTATAATAAATATTTTATTATAACATATAACTGGAAATAATGCCAATTTATAGATAAGAGTAAACTTTATGTCTTATTTCTAGAAACCTTTCAACATACCTGTATATTGAGCTTCTATTAACTATTTCAACAACAAAGGTGATCTACATTCTCTTATTTTTTTAGAATAAAAAGAAGACCTACTTTGATCCTGGATTCAATGTAATACTCCAAGTATATAAGAGCATGAAAAAGGTTTTGCTTGTTCTAATGGACTAACCCAGTGAGCAAGTTTGGGCAAATGACTTCCTCAATCTCTTCTCACATATAGAAAAATGGCCTCATAGTAACCTAACTTAGCTTGTGTCCCCTCACAGGCCTTATTAAATAAATTATTTACCTTTTAAAAAAATCACATTAATTAGACAAGTCCACGAAAATGCTACATCACTAAGCACAAAAACAATGGCTAACATTTAGAAACTTGGAATGAGCACTTGGTTTTTGTTTATGGCTTCTACAACATTTTTTCTGACATTTTATTATAGATCTCAAGACAATGAAACAGACTCAGAGTTAAGTGTTTCATATTGTATGCCACCAGGAAACAGCTGCCTTTCTTCCTGTCCCCTGTACTGAGAACAGTGTCTTCTGTACAGGGGAGGCCTGATCAATGCTTGAAATATTCAACTGAAATAATTTGTAATATAAATCAAGAGAATGGCAATGAGTACCCTTGGCTATTTGGACTGAAAAAGTGCAGGAGCCACACGCATTTACAGAAAAGCACCTGGATATCCATTCTTGTCTATGTCTGTGGCTCCCTTCATGGAATAGCCAAAGCTTGGTGGCATGCTCTGTGCAGCCCACTGCCCTTCGAGGATCTGAGATGGCACTGTGTTCAAGCCCGTTGATCTTCCATTGAAAATATAAACAATTCCTTTTTTATCTTCACCCCCATAGGGAGCAGCAATTGCAATATCTGTGGGAGGAAAGGAGAGCGAGGATGAGAGAAGAAAAGAGAAGGGTAACAGTGATTCAGGAGAAAGGGGACAGGGAAGATGGGCAAGACAGAGAGAAGGAAGTCTTAGTGTTTACAATTATTTACATAGTGATCTTAATATTTATAGAAAGCTACTGGGGAATGAGACTGATCCAATTATGTTACGTGCATATACAAATGTGCCATAATAAATCCCACTATTAAGTATAATTATAATGCACAATTTAAAAAACTGAAAAAAAAATTTTAAGAACCTTTTGATCATATTAAATATTGATTCAAAATTCAACAGAGTACTTTCTATTCAACGGTAACGATTCTAATTCAAGGAGATTCAAGCAAAACTATGTAGAAATGACATTAATTCAGAGCCGGATATTTTTGGATCTGACCCTGGGCAAACCACTTAACCTTTCTAGACTTAAAATGCTTTATTTTTAAAATTAGGAGGTAGAGAAGGAGATGGGTATTTGTCAAAGATTCATCTAAAGTTCATTAGTTCTCAAATTTCTAGCTTATTTAGATATGCATAGCTTTTGTTTTTCCTAAGCAGAAGTAAATCCAGCTCAGAAATTTGAAGGTTATAACTTCATCCTGATCTTGCTCAATTTATAATGAAATGACATAAACAAATAGAATTGAAAATTCTTAAAAAAAAAAACTCCAAAATATCAAATGGTCACTATAATCTTCATAAATTCGAAGATATATTATAAACCATCTACTTCTCTGTCTCTGCTGCTACCACCTTAGAGAAGCCCTTGCCAGGCTCTGCCTGCACCCCTAGAGTAGCCACTCAGGTGGCCTCAAACTTCTAGTCCTTCCCCATGGCTCATTCTCTTCAAAGCCAGCCAGTGTTAACCTTACTGTCTCAGATCCCCCTTCTTGATAGCCTTCAATTATTTCTCAAAGCATTTAGAATAAGACCTCAGTCGTGCCTGGTATGTCTTCTGCTCACTTTGAAAATCTCCCTCTCCTATCCTCTCTACCCTCCTCCTTTCTGTCTCACCCACTCTTCCCAGCAATCTTGGCCTTTTTTCTGTTTCCTAAACACACCAAGTTAATCTCTGGGCATACCTTTGCTGTTTTCTCGTCCAAACAGCTTTTGCTCCACAGCTTTTCAAGCCTTGCTGCTTCTGCTTGCCATAGATCATAGATGAAATGCTATCCTGTCAGTGAGGCCTTTCCTAGAAGCTCTAAGAGGCTGAGTACTTGTCCCTCAGGACCCCTACTGTATTGTACTATCTTGGAACTCTTGGAACTCCCTATCACAGTACTTTGTCTTAAAAAAAAAAAAAAAAACAAAGCCCAGTCACACTACCTGCATTTCCTCATTTTTTTGTTTACTTACTCTATGAATCTCCATAAAACAAGCTTCATGAGATCAAGGACAAACATCTGTCTTGCATCTAATAGTCCTTCTGTACCTGCCACACCAAATAGCCTCCAGTTCCTTAATGTATCCAAACTGTTTTATTCCTCCTCAATGACAACCCCTCAGACACCAAAGATACTTTGATCTTTCACCCATTGTATAAGACCATTATGCCCACTGTGATAATCACATTCCAGTGTTTATTTTTTTCACTACATAAAGACATGGGTGGGTTCATGCATTTTAAAGAGGGAAAATGTATATGTGAAAAAATGGGCTCATTTTCAGCACCTACCATAACATTTGTTCTTAATGGGAACTAAGAATGTACCATTCTTTAAAATTCAGTATTTAAATTATTTAAGAACCCCTCTGTTATTCTTTTTGAAGTTTTAAAAGGTAAATATAATTGCTAAATTAATATGGGCATTAAAAAGTATTTATTAAAATATAATTTCCCAACAAAAGATGGCTCTAAAGTTAAGATATTATTATTACAAATTATCTTTAATTTTCTAATCCCTTCAATATTTTATACATGCTTATTATCTTTTCCCTTGGCTGTCATTTTTGAAAAGCACTATGTTTTCATGCAATCAATTTTCTCCTTTGATCATTTTAGTTGCTCTCTTCTGGTTGTTTTTTTTTTTCTCCCCCTGCTTTTCTGAAAAGATGTTGACAAAAACTGCACAAAATTACCCTGGAGCTATGTAAAATCGTGGAATATAACTTTATTGTTTTGCCTTTCATAACCTCTTGATAGTACCCAGTGTTTTCCTGATGGGGATAGGTAGAAAGAGTGGGATACAGAAATACAGAAGCAATGACACTTAATGTTATCAGCCATGAACAAAAATAGATCCAGGTTATATTATAATTAATGATATATTTACACAAATCCAGCTCCGACAATTTTCCACTAAATTCCTTATCTTTCAAGAACTACTACTTGGGACAATAAGACCTAAGGTAAAACCTTGGAAGACTATCAACACCCTCTATGGTATCTCTCTCTGGAAGTAAAATCTCTTTATAAAATCTTTCTAAAACTTCAATATTTTTAGCTGTTGTTTATATTTGTTGTGTTGGCAGATCATATCCTATTATTAAAATCTAATAAGAAGGATGAAATAATGACTGGATCACAATATCAAGGAAACTTCCATAAATTGGTTAGAATACCCTTGACAGAAAACAAGTCCAGGCTTTCCCAGAAAGCTTGGGAGACAGAGGCCCAGTGATGTAGCAAACAACTCATCAATTTTATGCAAAGCAGAACCTCAAATATGGGTCTATACTTTCTAGGTAGTAGTTGTTATCAGTAAGTAACGGTTTGGCGTGTTTTACTGTATTCTTTTCATGTTTTATTATGAGTCGTTTAACTCAGCTTTATTTGGTTTATGTGAAGTTATCTTGGTGTCTAAAATCTTCCAGATTATTTTAGGAAGCAAAGTGTGCCTCTGACCTATTGTTCACTAATATTGAATATTTCTAGGGTTAATCAAGATGACACTTGAGTGGTATATAACATACAACTACCCATGAGGCAGGACTGGAGCCCAGAGTCAAACAACACTTTTCTTTCCACTAGAGAGTAAGTCATCTGTACTTCTGGAGTGTTTTTCTTAATCAATTTCCTTTACATTTTGGGGAAGCATATCCCTGAACACTGTTGGTTATACAAACACACCAACAATTCATCTCTCTATCCTGTGATCCCTAGAAAGATTCTTAATAGTATTTTTTTAATCTTGGTAACTTGTGGCATATATTTCATGTTTCTGAAAAGAGTTCTATGGTAAAAGCCAACTTTGCTTTTTAAAGATACATATAGCTATTGAAATGATACTATTATAAAAACAATGGACCTTTTACATGTCCCCATGAAGAGACAAAGAGCCTGGCTCAGAAAGTCTTAGACACAATAAAGTTATGACTTTAAAAATATCAGTGGCAACTCATACCTATGAGATTAGAGTTAGAATCAGCACTGCCTTGACGCTGTGCTGGGAGCATTATTTTTGGTTTTCCTTTTTCACTTGTAATTAAATGGACAGTAGAGGGCACTGCCGTTTAGCAGGAGGCAGAGAGAAAAATCAGCAGCTGGCACTAGGCTCCACAGGAATAAAGCTTTCTTCCAGAAATTAACCATCTGACACTCTAACTTGAAGCTTCATGAATAATACCTCAGGAGAGCTGATTTTTTGAAAACTTCGCTCTGATCTTTAACGAAAAAAAAAGACAACCTGACTTTAAATATCCTATCTTTCTAGGAAGGTTCACTCATGAAAACTTCTCCAGATGGGTGCTAGGACTTTTCCCAGATGGACACAGAGAATCAGGAACCCACAGTTGCTGGATTTCAATCTTACCATTGAAGCCGTCCTGGTCCAGATCTCCCAAAGGAGCTATGGCACTGCCAAACCGTGCAAAGACCTCAAACCCATTCAGTTTTGTAGTCTGGAATTCTCCGGAAGCTTTCTGCAGAGACACGGAGACCTGCCCCACCTCTTGGAGTTTGCCATCAGAGCCTCGATCCATGAAAAGTGGTGCTCCAATAAACACATCTGCATAACTGAAAGCACAAAATCTTCTCACCAGAGCAAGACTGGATTCCATCTCTTAGTAAGCATTTTCTTTCTCATTAAAACACTGCTTCCCTCTTTGCACCTCTCTGTGCTGAAGTACAAAATTATCACAGCAGTTATTTCAAAGTCAAACCTTGCTTCAGCTCTTTTAAAAATCTACAAGTAGTTCCTGAGCTTATTATTATTTTTTTTTGCATTATAAACACAATTGAAAAAAATTGTGGCCAGCATAGAGGTTGCCTAATATTCATGATTAAGGTTGCTTCGAATTAATTCCACAAATAGAAAGAAAATTAGCAGGAAGGGGATCAAGAAACAAAAGAAAAAATGTTTAGTTTTAGTAGAGCATTCATAAACACGAGAGGAAACAGTTTCTAGAAACATTTTTTTAAACTTACTCATCCCCATTAATGTCAGTGGCAGCGACAGAAAATCCGAAATATGCAGCCATCTGAAGACAAGGACAAAAATGAAATGTTTATACTTCATTTAACTGGCTTAGACAATATTTATTATTAATATTTACACATATTATACGTCCCACATTGAAACTCTTACTCTTTTCTCTGCACTAAGGGCTTCAATCTGAGTCTCTTTTGTTTATTACACAACAAAGACAATCAGTTAATGAGTCTTGTTTATTTTGCTAGATTTATGGGAAAAACATTCCACACACATGATTCCAGTATCTTCAACATGTGCCCAAGTATAGTCAATTTTCCTTCCCAGTTCTATTATCTCACTTCCTCTACATTCCCCCAAAACACAACAGTCAGACACACTCACAGAAAGACAGATGGTCACAGACAGACATTTAAATTAAATACACACACACACGGATGCCTATACAGTAAGGATAATTGACAATAGCTATTAATGATAGATAATAACTGGCTTTCCAATATGAAACCACTACTATAGAAAAATTACTGTCTGGAAAATATACAAAGGAGCTCATTTTTGTCTCATATTTCACTTGATTACTTGTCAGATGGTTTTGCTTTTCAAGTATACATGGTTAAATGGGTGTGGGCTTACTATGGGCGTATAGGCATAGGTAAAAGAAATGTCTTTCCCACCACAGGGGACTAGTGCCCATTGCAGTCAGAACAGCCTGGCTAGAAATAAATGTGAAAAGTAAGTTCTAAAGACAGGCCCACATGCAAAACAAAATGAGGACAAAGGACAGGGTAAAGATGACTAAGGTGAAGAAAGAATCCATACACTGAAAAAGGAAAGTTAGGAATGCTTCAAAATTTTAATTTGGAAGTCTGGAATTTTCCTGAAGCTCTCTGTAGAGACATGGAGACCTGCCCTACCTCTTGGAGTCTGCCATCAGTGGCTTGATCAGAGCATCTTATAAGGGAAATTCTCAGATTATCTATTTTCAGTTGATATAGGGTAATCAAGAAAAGTGAAAGGTGTATTCTGTATTTGATGACAAGATCAGAGCTTGTGTGGTTAAGTACACAGAGTTTGAGGTACCCTGTTGATGTGTAACTGGAAAATAACAGAATAATAGTTGCAGGCTTTTGTGTTTGTCCTGAAAGTATAAAGGACGGCATTTACTCAGGGGAGTTTGATCCTGAGCACTGTGGTTGAAATATTTTCATTGGATTCTCACAACTATGCCACATGCCCACCTATAAATTAAAAAAAAAAAAAAAAAAACTAAACAGTTATGAAAGAATGTTTTGTGCAATGTAATAGCAAACAAATCATGGACAACCCAGGTCTGTACTCATCCAAAGCCCATGTTTTCTAGCCCTTCCCCCACATAATAGCTGGAAGGAATGAAGGAAGCTTCATGAAGATATGTCAGCATCCAGAGACACAAGTGTACATCAGACAGGACACACTGTTTGAGCCAAAGAAGTCACAACAACAGAAGGAGACAATCACCCCTGAAATAACCCTAAACACCAATCAACTACAGGCCACTCGTGTTGCACAGCCACCTTGGTAGCCACACAGATGGAAGAGGTTTCTGGAGACTAGGGTTCTAGTTCCTCAGCCTATTAATCCTCTCCCAAAACCTAGCCCTCAGCTGAGCATGTAGGCTGGAATCCTAGAGCTGCAAACCACAATGAGGTATTTTTTTTTTTCTCTACTTACTGTTTGTTTTTTATCATTGCCAACTTATTATTTAATTCTGAGATATACAATATTATAAAATGCCTCTACTTGTAAAGAATGCCTAGTACTTAAAAGAACTACACTTTAATTGAAGAATATTTTATTTCATGTAGTACAAACCAGGTTTGCTTATAATATCTATAATACGTAAAACTGTGCCATGCTGTTTTGCCTCTAATAAAATTAAGATATAGATCATTCCTTACAGGGAACTGAATATCATCAGTAGAGAAAAGTTTTTCTGAACTTCCACAAAGGAAGTTTTTGTAGTTTTATGTGTGTGTAATTTTATTTTTTATTTCCTTAAAAAAAAAAAAAAAAAAGCAAACAAACAAACAAAAAAGCCATAATAATCAATTACAAAAGTTTTGCTTAAATTACTTGGCTAAAGCAAAGGTTAAATATATAAAGCCTATCTTATATCTAAAAATTAAATATTATAGAATCATTACTCCATTTTGATATCACAAAGCAAAGTTTTAAGATATTAGGGAATGTTGAGTGAAAAAAGCAAGACATAAAAATCTAAATAAACCACTTTTTGTTTACACACACACACACACACACGAGAAATATACCATAATGACAGTTTGATGGATTATCTGTTTGACTGGATGATAGATATCTCTTATATTTCATCTTCCACAATTTCTCTAATAAATATGTACTTTTGTAAGGATGATGTTTTTAAAAGCATACCTGCTCACCAGTAAAATTGTGCAAGGAGGACATGTTTTTCCCATCATAAATATAAACCTGTGTAGAAAAAAACATAAGCACATGAAGTATAGTAAAATAAAAGGTAACACACAGATTTTTAAAAACAATTTTCATCTCTCCTACCATGCCCAGAGTTCTTGCTGCTCTTGGAACTCCCGAAACAAAGTCTGAAAAGTACAACAAAAAATAAATAAACGAACATGTCTTCAATTTTAAGACCAACATTGGAAACTGAAGAAGCAGCTATCAGAGAGCTTAAAGTTTTGTTTTATAACTTTAGTAGAAAATGAGAGATTTTTAAAGAAATTGATATTTCAGGGGCTGAGGCTATAGCTCAGTGATAAAGTACTTGTTTTGTATGTGTGAGGCACTGGGTTCAATCCTCAGCACCACATAAAAATAAATAAAGATACTGTGTGTTCATCTACAACTAAATAAACATTTTTAAAAATTGATATTCTATAATAAAGAAATAGCATTTTAACTATTAAAATCAAAATCTGAAAAATGCAGAAATCATCTCAAGTCCTCAAATATATGCACAGGAACCCTCAAATCATTGTAATATTCCTAAGCAAGAATTAAGATAATGTAACCCATGAACTAAGAAAAGTTATGCTTAAAGTAATGAAAAATAATATAAATCAAACTGAAATGGGGTAGAGGTGGCTGTGGTACAGAAGTATGACCAAAGTTGGGCAAAGTCTATCTAAGACTGCGGCATTGGGCTTTGAAGAAACACAGAGGAAGGAGATAACATCTTACAGATCTTGTCCAGAGCCTAAATAAAGAAGGAATGCTCCAAGAGGTCAAATTTGCTGAAAGCAAAGAGGAAGGAGCTGAAGAAATCACTGACTGTGGGTGGGAAAGACACCAAGGCCCATAGCAGGCCTTGAACAACCAACAGAGAGAGAGTAACAGAGACCCAGAGTGGGACTTTCCTCAGTGTACTAACTCTTACTAGTGTCTTCCATTTAAATTCCATAAAAATAGTTTCAAATTGCTGAAGAATCTCAATGTCACATGTTTCAAACGCTTGATTTAAATTCTTTAAAGGATTAAACATAGTTCACATGCTTCATACCATCTATGCCATCACCGTTGAAATCTCCGACAGCCACTGAGTAACCTAAATGGGAACCAAAGGTGAGACACCATGAGAGCAGCAGTTAACAGCGTACTTGTTAAGTAAAATTGCCTTCAAAATATGATCAAGTAACTCCTTTAACTAGGTAGGGTTTTATCTTTTGACAAATAAATTTTAAATAATTCAGCTGGGCTCAGTGGCACACACCTGTATTCCCAGCAGCTCAGGAGGCTGAGGCAGGGTAATGGAGAGTTCAAAGCCTGCCTCAGCAAAAGCAAGGTGCTAAGCAACTCAGTGAGACCCTGTATTTAAATAAAATACCAAAAAGGGCTAAGGATGTGGCTCAGTGATCAAGTACCACTGAGTTCAATCCCTGGTACCCGCCCCCCCCCCGCCAAAATAAATAAATAAATAATTCAGTTAAATACTCAAGTACACTATCTGTATTAGAAAAATAGGACTGTTTTATCCACTTTACAAGAGTCTATTAAAATCAGGGTAAATTTGCAGTTCATCAAAAAGAGGAAACAAATAACAGATTCTCTCAATCAGTAAGTACTAGTTCTGTTGAGTATGATTTATTTTCATAAATAAGAGAGAAATTTAAAGAGAGAGAACAAACGTTAATAAATCCCCAAGACCCAGGGGCTGGGGATGTGGCTCAAGCGGTAGCTCGCTCCCCTCGCATGCATGTGGCCCGGGTTCGATCCTCAGCACCACATACCAACAAAGATGGTGTGTCCGCCGAGAACTAAAAAAATATTAAAAATTCTCTCTATCTCTCTCTCTCCTCTCTCTTTAAAAAAAAAAAAATCCCCAAGACCCAAACTGTAGTTTAATAGTAGCTAAAAGTGTAGTAGTCAGACCACCTGGGTCTGAATCTCAAAACAGCAAATTATGTGTGACTTGGGGCAAGTGCTTTTGTCTCTCTGTTCCTCAGTGTTCTCACCTACAAAATGAGAATGACAGTAAACTTTCATAGACTTATGAGGACTAAATGAGCGAATACACACAAAACATTAGGAATGCCCGGACCATAGTAAGCACATCTGAAAAGTTAGCCACTGTTATCACCACATAAACAATCACATTTTCCAATGTCCATCACTGAGATGTAACACAACCTAAGTATTCAATAACAATTTGAAATTGTACATTAATTATGCTTTAAAAAATCTTAATCTATTTCACATAAAAGATTTTTATTTATTTTAATAATAGAACAAATATAGCCCTTTTACCTACCCAAATAACTGTCATCAAAAATTGCTTGTGCAGTCCGAGTGGCTAACTGATTATTATACTTGATGCTATAAACGTTGGGGTCATACTTAGATACAATTTCTGCCACTTGATCCGAGATAAGCTGACCTGTCCAAAAAAAAAAAAAAGAAAAAAGAAAAAAAATATATATATACACATACATACATGCACATAAACATATATATGTATGTAATAAATGATCTTCTAATAGGAACTCTATGATATAGGCAATGAATACTACATACATTAAATAAAACAGTAGTAGATATATGTACATCTAATAATTAGTCTTAATCCTCCTTTATAATGCTATATTTGAAGTCAGAGATTCTTTAACTTAAAACTTTTACTGTTCAAGCCAATACGTAAAATTATTCTCCATTCATAAAAAATTAAGAACACAGATTTGGTCTTAATTTACCAAAAATTCAAAATAATGAAATCAAGAACTATTTCCCAACCAAATCTGTAAAAACAAACAACTACTGCAAAGATTAAATACTGTTACCTTTATAATCAGAATAATCACTTTATTGATTTAACTAGTTATCTGAATGCCCTTATGAAGCAATCTGGATGGGTGAGCTCACTTTGCCTCATAACCTTAAATTATTAGATAGACATGGAATCCAGATGACTATACAAAAATCAGACAACCTCCACCCCAAGAAAGGTTGGCTGATTTATTAAATACCACCTGCCTAAAAATTTTGATTTCTGCCGTTTTAGAAAGAAACACATAAGAGCTGAAGTTTTTGATGTGGATCTAATTTGTTCTGTCATATGGGGCAGCACTTTCTACGAGCTACTAGTTTATCCTCTGTGCCTAAACAATATTGAAAACATAGAAAAAAATTCAATAAATGTTTCTTGAATCAAAGAACAGAAGAAAATGATAATCTGTTTAGAACAAAACATTACCATTTTTTTATACAGAGGCAATTCCAAGATCTATTAAACAATTCATTCTAAAGTACCTATTTATCCAGGGTGAAATCTGTTGATTTTAATCTTATTAAAATAAAAGATTCTCTGCCAATTCACTCAGTTTTTAGTCCCATATTCTAGACCACTTATAATAAAACTCTAATAAATATAGTATCTATTTGTCCTAATATATAATTAAACGGAAACACAAAAATATAGGATGTAATAATTCAAGGTATTAAAAGAAGAAGTCATTTAAAAACATTCACAACTGTAACACCTAAAAAGAACTGCAGTCCTGAGAATCACAAAATCTAGCTTCCCTCACAGTTTTAGTTCTCAGGCATGACCATCAGCTGCTTCCTTCCCCTCTACTGAATGACACACCTAGTACAGAAGAAGAGGAAATCCATGTTTGTTTGGTTGTTTTTTCTTACTGGTGGGACAAAAGGCATGGCCTCCTGCATGCTGAGCAAGTGCTCTACCACAGAGCTACAAAACCCCAGGCCACAAGTCCATAGTTTTATAACTAACAGGAAAGTATTAACATCCTATTACTTTTTCATATGTATTTTAGAATACCGAGTTTTGTTTTTAAACAGTAAAACTCAATTATAATATTCCTAGATCTCTTCCCAATAGACAGATAATTCATGGAAATTCAAATTTTGCTGTTCAGGGTAGTATGTCTCACATATACTTTTCTTCATCTCCTCCTTTGATTTCCCTTTCAACTTTTCATTTATTCCTATTATCATTCCTTCTTATTTCCCTTCCATCCCATTTTCCTTCAGCAAATCTCTCTTTGGCTTCTCTGTTACTTTAATGCAAGCGAATGAGGTTCCTACAAAGAACCAAGTAAGGAAAGCATAATGCAGAACATAAAAGTAAAATTCAGAAATTAAAAAGTACTTTCAAATCCATTTATGCATAGGTTTTCCAATTCTTCCAAACACTGACAGTGTTTATATATCAGAAGAATAATAAACAAGAGTTATGATCTTGTAAATAGCATTTGGGGCAGAAATTATCATGTCAATATATTGACTAAATAAATAATTGTGATCTCTAATGATAAATAAAACATAAACAAAGCAAATAAACAGATTCAGTTAACTATTTTCAAACTGTCAGCAGTAATGATCTGTTATTCATTTGTTCAAATGGAAATTTAATTAGGCCTCCCCAAATGATTGAAAAATATAGTTTTCTCTTTGTCAATGCCAATTTAATTATACTTTTAAAAAGATAATAATAAGATCTTCTGTTTTAAAAAGTCCCCAACACTTAAGAGATTAATCTTGATGTCAGTGATTAATGAGAAAATAAACATTTAATTATTCTAATGAGCAATTTCAAAATACAATTAAAACTCTGAGCTGTCAGAATGCCACAATTTGCCTAACCAGATTGGTCCTACTCCTACTAGTGGTTGTGTCATGGCTTCCAGAATACAGACATAAAGAAATACACACCACATAAAATCAAAATAAGTTATTTTAAATCTTATATACTTTACTTTATATTTTACTTTAAAAATATTATTTTCTACTAAGAATATATACATATTTATAATATTTCTTGCTATTTTCTTTTTTAAAAAGTTACATAACTGAATATTTATAAACATATTACATTTTACATTTCTTTTTTAAAACAGTTTGAAACTTTTCATAGTTGCATGATAAACTAGGTGAATCAGAAACACACAGGCAGTATAGCATAATTCAAAACATATTAACCTACCTTGCCAATAAAAACTACCAGGACCACCAAGAAGTACTCTGTCAGCCTAGATTGAATCAAACAACAAAAGTATATATATTTAAAACAAAGAGCATTAGAAACAGAAATCAATGTAATAAGCATAAAAAATACTTATGTGTATTTATACCTATTACATATAAAAGCCAATAATATTAAAATGTTCATATTCATCTAATTTGGTTTTAGTGATTTTTGTAACTTTTATTTTAAAAATTAAATATGAAAACATCATTAAATATCATTTAATGATATTTAATGCATGAAAATATGAAAACATTTTTTCTGTAGAACTCGGCTATTTTCTATGTTTTGAATAATGTACTAGCTCAAAGAATTATTGGGTTATAATAAAAAAAATCACTTCTTATTACTATATATGAGATTTGTGACTTCATAAGGAAGTTTTTTTTTAATATCAATGAAGAATTTTCTGCTAAAAGAATATTATTTTTAGTGTCTCACATCAGGTGTGAAGTTAGAAGGTAAATTTCTACAAATTATACTTGACTAGCACTTCTTATATCTATAGCAAACTGTAAAGCTTTAATTGGAAGTATTCTAAATTTGAGCACAGTATTTTATTCACTCCAAATGCACACATATTCCTTTCAGGCTCTCAACAACTTCATGCCCCAACTATATAAAAACGGTTCCAAATTGTTCAACTTAAAATATATGCTTTCTTCACAAATGGGTTTAAGAAAGCAAACAGTTAATTTAGCAATAACTTGTGCAGCATGAGAATACTTCTAGGGGAATGGTTGTATAGGCATAGGTATAGAAAACATAAATTTTTTAAAAAAATAACTACTGGAGAAAATATATCATGCAAGTTTAAGCCTAATGTTTATTAATATACTTTATTTCTGTTTGCCTTCCTTAAAGTTTGAATTATAACTAAAGTAATATGAAACTAAGTGAATTCAAAAATCAAGTACATAGTAAAGAGAGTTAGCAATAATTATTAGCATCTAGTTCAGAAAAAAATTTAATGAAATAAAACAAATGTAAAATATAAGAAAATGCTTTATTAGTACTCCATCATCCCACAATTTTAATTTCAGTTTGTTTCATAAATTTATGGACTTTTCTTTGTTTACATTTTCCAAGAAAGCTATAAAGTAAGCTTTCCAAGGAAGCTCTACTCTTAATTAATCGATATATTTTTACAACTCTCTAAAAGGAATTACTATTTCAATTTGATCAACAAATTGTTTACAAAACTCACAAATAAAGAATAAAATAAAAAATTATAAAGAAAAGTACTTGAGAAAAACTGAAAATATAAAAGAAAATTTTATTTTAGAAAAGAACATAAAAGCTAGCAATTCTGAAGGGTATATTAGAGCCTTGGATATGAGATGTGCTACAATTAAGAAATCACATCAGCTTCCCTGGGTACCTATAGGCACATAAATGGCAAACATTGTGCTTCTTGGCTTTTTTATAATTGTGTAATAAAGTTTTCAATTGATAGTTTTGTGAAAAAAAAATTTCAGTTGAAAACAGAAACTTTATTCTATAGGTTCATGTAAGTGGAATATTTAATATTAAGTCACAATAGTTACCTATCATTTACTGAGGAGATTCTTTACTTCCCTCCATTCTCATTGTCATGTCTATTTGATGCCTATTTCAAATAAGCAATGTTTACTAGGGAGGGAATAATATAAGGCAAGAATGTCAAAACAAATGGGTTGTTTTATTAGCTATTTCCATTAAGCAGGTAATAACTATAAAGACGCTGAAGTAATGACAAGTTTACTTTTAAGCACAGTTTATTGATAAGGTAGATCCGAATCTCATTCAGTTTTAAATAAGAACTTACTTTAGTAAAATCAATGCTGAATCCTCCTTGACAAAATCCCTGTCCATCAGCATCAATATTTTCTAAAATAAAAAGATTGGAAATATACACAAACCCAAAAACAAACAATATAAACAAAACATGAGAAAGTCTGATATCACCATAACTGCAAGACAATGTGCTAGTTTCTGTGACTGGTCAATCACGCAGGCACTGAGCCATCATCCTATTCTGAAAAGGTTAGTATGCACGTTTATCAGCACCATTTCCTCAGATTTGGAAACAAAGAGACACTGAATATCTGGACCAGTTTCTGGGTAACAGAAAGATCAACTACAAGTGTGAATTTCAAACTTCTTTGTTTTAACCACAATCCACAGCAAGATTATAGTTTATATGACAACACACTATACACTGTGTATAAAATAATGTTAAAAATGTAATATAAATAAAATTTCACAAAATAGGGGCTGGGATTGTGGCTCAGTGGCAGAGTGCTTGCCCAATCGTGCATGTGAGGCACTGGGTTTGACCCTCAGCACCACGTCTACAACTAAAAAATTATTTTTAAAAATTTCACAAAATAATATTACTATTGTTACATATAATATATTCCAATATTTTCTACTTTGTATTTTATTTTACTTTTCAAAAAATTACTAGTTATGTCCCACTATATGTAAAACACAAATGAGTTTTCACCTGCAACTTAAAACTTGCCATCTGAAATTACTCTTTGTTCCTGTCACTCTACTCTTGCTAGGTCTTTGAGAAGTTATGAATAACTTAGCAAAGGCTGGGCTCAATGGCGCATGCCTATAATCCCAGAAGCTCAGGAGGCTGAGGAAGGAGGATCCTAAGTTCAAAATCAGCCTCAGCAACTTAGCGAGGCCCTAAGCAACTTAGTGAGGCCCTAAGCAACTTAGTGAGACTCAGTCCCTAAAACAAAATACAAAAAAGACCTGGGGATGTGGCTCAGTGGTTAAGTGCCCCTGGGCTCAATCCCCAGTACCAAAAAAGTAAAAAATAACTCAGCAAAGAGATACATACATTCCTTGCACATACATTTCATATACATACATTTTATACTAACACTAAAAATAAAAGCTATATAAAGAAGATAGTTGAGAATTTCAGAAAAGGGCAAGGCCCAAACTTAAAACATTCTATGAAGAACAAAATATGAAACTGGTGCTCACAACATATTTAAAACTGGGATCTAATTAGAGTGAACATCTTTAAACATGACATCTTCAAGTATTTCCCAACCAAAGTTGTTTTGCTCTTCAGCAGTTATCTTTCCCTTTTTGTAGTTCTCAGAAAAGAAACTAACTTTGAATTATATAATTAGCCAATTAATTTAAATTAACTTTAACCATGAGTACTACTCTACCAAGAATAGAAGTCAGGATGAATCTAAAGACTTTCTCCTTGATTTATTTATTTATTTTGTGGTGCTGGGGATTGAAGCCAGGGCCTTGTGAATGTGAGGCAAGTACTCTACCAACTGAGCTATATCCCAGCCCTCCTTATTTTATTTTAAGGAGAGCAAGGAACAATGGAAAGCACCATCCTTCAATTATCAAAGAATTCTTGCAACCAATGTTACAAATATACAAAACTTATTACTGCATTAGCCACTCAAATATAGGAACCAAAAGTATATACATTTAGTCATAAGGACAACTCCAAAGAATTTTGTGTAAAATAATCCCATCAAAAATTTTGAATCCATTTCTAAACCTGGGAAGTGCCCCAAGATTACATACTGAATATCTAAATTTAAAATCTTTTTTTTAGAAAATAGCCACAAGAGTGTAATACTACCCCGATGTAAATTTTTCTAACCAAAAGAGAGTGGGAAAATGTGGGGCTGGGATTTCCAGTGTCTAGTGAATCATACCAAGGAATTCTGCTCTAACCTCAAGTTAGCCATTTATTTCCTTTATTCCAGCTGCATCTGGGGAACTATTTCAGGCTATTTATAAAGACATTCTTTTCTGATTATCATATGTACAATTCACTGCTTTGTTTTCCCAGAACATCCAGCTAAAACACATTACTGTTCCTTAAAATTGTCTTAACAGGTACCTATTGAATGGAGTGTTTCCAACAATCAAAAACCTTCATGTTGAACATATTTCAATGAAGGCTTTGTTTTGTTTTGTTTTACTACAGATGATTAATACTTCTCTCATTTGTTTCACCTTGCAATGATACTATAGGAATGAATATTATTGATTACAATAGTAGTATCAGCTAGTGCTTACGAAGCTCTCACTGTGAGCCAGATATGATGTTAAAGTATTTTACATAGAATTTCCTTTTAAAATGTTTACAGCAATCCTAGAAGATATTATTCACAGTTTGTACAGATCAGGAAATTAATGTTTAGGGAAATTAAGTAACTTGACATGCTGAATTGGCTAGATCAAATAAAGAGTTACAGATCTGAATCCAGGTGTGTCTACACTACTATGTTCTACTATCTCAAATCAGCAATGGACTTAATATTCTCTAAGTACTGAAAAAATGGAAGGAACTGGAAATCCAAACTGGAAAAAAATCTATGTTCAAATAATATTATCATCAAAAAGTGAGCAGAAGGAGCAAAGAATTCAGCTTTTGCATGGCGTTGAAAGAGTATTTATTTACATCATGTGATTTGTGGCTCAGGCACGTCTAGAACAGATTGGACATCTGGTCTATTGAATAACGCCAAGAATGGTCATAGACACAGTTATGAAAAGCCAGAAGCAATTGTAATCAGTAACAAGGAAAATTGAGAGTAGATAGGGAAATTCCTAGTCCAGAGTGTCCACATAGGTCATGCTAAGAAAAAATCCAATCAACCAACCAAACCAAAACACAAATAGAAACCAACAAAAAAACCCTATAAACTAAATACAACTAAGACAAGCAAAGTTATCAAGAAGTTGGTAGTATAGCCCTACAAAACCCACATCATCATGAAAAATAGAGGACACATATATATGTATAAACTGTACCTCTGCCATGCTTTGTTGGAACTAGTGTTTTACCAATAAGAAAATAAGGGTTCACATGGATTAAGTGAATAACCCATAGCTGTAGGTTAATTATTACCAGAATTGGAAATTATCACTCAGGTTTTCAAGCTTTTAACTTTTGAGATTTTTCTCTGGATAAGCTGCCCCTCTTAATTTGAGCCTAGAGGCAGCTCAGCATTAAAAAGTTTGGATCAAAGAATATGTACAACAATCAAGGGTAACTGATGCCAGGCCTGTTAGGAAAAAAAATATTCACTTTGCTGTTGTGTTTATAAGATTGTTCTCCAAGCTTTTCCTAAGATTTGAGGTTTTATTATTTAGGTAGGAGTTCAGTAAACTTTTTCTATAAAGAACCAGATAATAAATATTTTAGATTTAGGGGCCATACAGCATGGCAACTATGGAAATACTCAACTTTCCCAGATAATATGCCAACGAAGGTGTGTTGCTCTATTCCAATAAAACCTTATTTACAAAAACGGCCACAAGCCATAGTTCCCCAGTCAGATTTAGATGTTAAATACCTTAGAAAACAAGGTTTTGAATTACTTTATAATTTCTATGCCTAAACCAAATAATAAAAGCATTATGTGACAGATCCACAAGGAATCATTAGGATGCACATTTTCAGGAGGTTTCTGTTTACTGTCTCATTTCGGGAATTATCCAGACCTATTCTCTTGAAAGACACAGGATGGATTCCTTGCAGAAAAGCTGTGTTTTAAACCAAAGCAACTGAAATAGAAAGCATTTTCTATTGTTAGTAATGCAGGAGAAAGGTTCCTTTGGAACAAGACAGACCTAGGAGGCTATGGGTACCGCTCAGTGGTACAGCTTGTGAACATGAGACCCTAGGTTGAAGCCCCAGCACCAAAATGAGAGAAAAAAAAGGCAGTTCTTAATTCAAATCCTCATTTGACCACTCAGTACCCATAAGAAATGAAAAATTTTTTTTTCAAGTATCTGAATCTGTTTCTACATTTCTCAAATGAGAATAAGAGTGTTTGTATGTGTGTTATATAATTGATAAATTATATTCTGGCATACAATAGTTTGCTTCTTCCTCATGGCTATAAACTTATCCTCTCAGAGTAAGAACATTTTTGCAATACAGAAATTACAAATTTTTTCCTCAGATTTTCTCTACACTACCAAAAATAACAGTACCATGAACAAAAAAACAACACAAAACCAACAGGACAGATGGCAAAAAACTCTGAGGATGAAGCTTCTGAATCCCTCCATCCTGTATAAGGTGTTCTGGGACCTAATTTTTACTCACACATTAAATGGATGGGGGGGGGGACAGGGACGGGGACGGGGGACATTCTTTTGATGTTTACTTTCCACTTACAATAAGTACAATCAAGGTGGTGAGATAAGAAATAAGTATTTAATGAAATAATTTGCAGTTTTCTGGAGATTCAACTACTTACAATTTTGGGGACCAAATAGTTTCTTAGACCTGGTGCCACATGTTGCTTTACGTGGAGAAAAGGAATCTAGCAGGAAAAGTCTTACAAGTTGAACTTTTGTTATGAATTCTCTCTATTCAACTATTTGGTGACCAAAGGGACATAAAAAGAAATAACTTAAGGGCTAGGGTTACACCTCAGTGGTAGAGCGTTTGCCTAGCACATGTGAGGTACTAGGTTCTATCCTCAGCAAATCAAAAAGTTACAACTAGGAGATGTGATTTAGCTGGCAAGAAAAAGAGATCTGACATACTATATTCAAACATTTATATCTCAGTACCCCACTATTGAGAAAGTTGTGCTCAATGGGCCAGGAACTAAAAATAAATATAATAAATAAATATATTATGACAAAAAGAAAGAAAGAAAGAAAAGAGAAGAAAAAGAACTAACTTAAAAAGGGCTCCAGGTAAAAACACCATACAGCAGTCCACTTTTCTTGACATGGTTTTGCCTCCCACAGATTCAGTTACCCTAAGTCAATCACTATCTGAAAATATTAAGAGGAAAATTCCAGAAATAAACAATTTATAAATTTTAAATATCTTTTACCACAAGATATTATTATAACTATTCTATATTATTAGTAGTTATTATTGTTAATTTCTTAGTGTGCCTAATTTATAAGTTAAATTTTATCATAGGTATATATGAAAAACATAGTAGCACAGAGGATTCGGTTCTGTTTTTGAACATTCATGAGAAATCCTGCAATGTATCTTCCACAGACTAGGTATTTTGATCTTTTATTTTTATGTTTCTTGAATAAGATTTAGAATAGCAGTTAATTGAACAAAAGGCAGGGGTGCAAAAAGACTGGAATCTCTAAGGGGAAAAAGAGGTGCAGAGTTTGGAAAAGCATAATCAAATGTATAAGAGTTTGAAATCATGGTCAGTCACAACATTAATTTCACTTAAAATTTCAATTAATATTGGTGAAAAGCATGAAACTTTTATATCACCTGTTTAGTAGCTAATTTACCTAGAAACTCCAAGTAAGGATTAAGAATTTAGACTTAAGACTCCTAAACTATATAATCTGGCTCTTTAAGACATATTTTTACCATCATTATTAATGTAAAGCAAAGGTTCTCACACTTTGGTATACGTCAAAATTACCCTGTAAAGCTTATTAAAAATGCCTTGGCCTAACCTAGACCTACTGAATCAAAATCTTTAGTTGTAGGGTCCTTCATCTCTGTTAAAGAATCTCAACTGAGCACTTTTTGACATACCACGATTGAATTCAAGAGTTACAAAGTCAGATATTCATTACTAACAAAGGAAGGTGAAAGGAGTTCTTAGAAACAATAAGCTTATTTACTTCATATTTGCAGTTGCTCTCATTAATATGATGCTTTCATTTTCCTCTCATAACCTGCATGTTTTATCACACATATACACCCACACTCACACACCGATTTTTAACAAACTAGGCTCCCACCCCTCTTGTTAAAGGCTGGTACAATTTCCCCGTACATACTTGACCTGCATGGAGCATACTCAACAGTCTTTGTTCCATCTTGAAGAAAGCAAGTTCCAACAGGCTCTCTCTCCTGTTTCAGCTCAGTCCTCCAGTGGTACAAGGGAGCACAGGCCTGAAACCAAAGGTTCAGTTCATGATACAAAAAGTCTCCAAAAAATTATAGTATTGCTTTTTAAACCTTAATAAAAATTAAGCCAGGCACAGTGGTGCATGCCTATAATCCCAGTGACTTGGGAGGCTGAGGAAAGAGGATCACAAGATCAAGGCCAGCCTGGGTGACTTAGCAAGATTCTGATTGAGAATAAAATAAAAAGTGCTGGGGATATAGCTAAGTGGTTCAATCCCACTACTATTAAAGATTTTTTTTAATTAAAATTAAGATTAATCAATCTATCCTATCATAGTAGTAGATAATAATTTTAAAAGTAATATTTTTCTCATTTACTTCTGAAGACCATATTTGTGGTCCAAATATGTGTATTCAAAATAGCCAGAAAAGATATCATTTCATATTTCTTTTATTGATTCATTTATTTGGTACTGGAGATTAAACCCAGAGGCACTTAACCACTGACCCACATTCCCAGTCTTTTTTTATTTTGAGACAGGGTGTCACTAAGTTTCATAGGGCCTCACTAAGTTACTGACGCTGGACTCAAATTTGTAATCTTCCTATCTCACCCTCCTAATCCATTGGGATTACAGGTGTGAATCACCAAGCCCTGCAGTAACATATTTCCTGATGCTATGTGCTAATAAGCTGAAGGTCACAGACCAAATCAACTTTTGAACTCAGTAACACTCAGTGTATTAAGGATACACCCCTAAATTATACAGTAAATAGATTACTGAGTAATTAGAATTTGCAGTGCTTATTTATTTTCCAAGTAAATCATGAACTTTTTGTTTTCAGAATTCTAATTTCAATATCATGTAGAAGCCATAAAATAATGCACATCATTTGGTGCACATAATAATGGCACCAAAATCTACGAAAAGCATTGACAATTCAATTTACTGAAGAAGTGTAATGGATTTCTATAATACTCCTTGAAGCAAAGTGCTAATGTAAATACTTGACTTCAACACCCTGATAAAACTGCAAGTACGAATTTTTACTTCTGCACATGTGACGCTCTATAGAAGCTGATTTGATGCTACTTCTTCTTTTTGCTTCCTTGCTCTTCTTCCTGCATAACATGCCCCCCTTCTCAAGCCCATCCTTCGTCTCAAATTGTTAAAGTCTTGATAAAAATTCTCCTCTTAAATAAATTTTTCCAAAAATTCATTATCACTTGAAAAACAAAAGACAGTAATAAATACTAAGCAGGTAATTAAAATAGGGGAGGAGTCTCCAAGGAAATGATATTAAAGCTGAAGTATGAATAATAAAGAGTTGATTTTGAAAATCAACAAGATGACTGTTATAAGCAGAGGACACACAAACACTAAGGTACAAACAGAAATGACTCTATAGATGGAATAAATGGACAGAAAGACCAGTGTGACTGAAGTATGAAGATGGATTGAGAAAATGCCAAAGAGAAAGGCCAAAACCCAATTTGGGGGATGCTGATAAGTCAGGACAAGTTTCTGACATTCATTCAGAAAGTGACAGAAAGTGCTGGACTGTTTTCACCAAAGGGAAAGACTCCGATTCCCTTCAGTCCTTCTATGTGGAACAGACAGTAGTTGGAGCAAGAAGGTAATAGAGAGACAAGAAGAGCTAGTGATCTGGCCCAGGTGAGAGTGGTGACGGCTCACTACAGGGCAGCCGTGATGAAGATGAAGGTCTCCTGATGGGTGTGGGATACATTCTGAAGGCAGAATTGATAGGGTTCCCTGGTGGATGGGAGAGCCATGCTTCTCAATTGCTGGGAAGATAGATAAGTTTGTGTGCTGCTGTGTGCTTTTTGATGAAGGGTAACAGGAGTCCTAATTGCACCATTTTCATTTTCAATAATCTAGTAGACATCCAAAGGGAAATGCCAAATAGATAGGAAATGTGTCTTTAAAAGTCTAGGAAGAAGCAGGTTGTGGTGGCACTCTCTCACCCGTAATCCCAGCAGCTGGGGAGGCTGAGAAAGGAGGATCTCCAGTTCAAAGCCAGCCTCAGCAACAACGAGATGCTAAGCAACTCAGTGAGACTCTGTCTCTAAATAAAATACAAAATAGGGCCGGGGATGAATGGCTCAGTGGCCAAGTGCCCCTCAGTTCAATCCTCAGGACAAAATAAATAAATAAATAAATAATCTAGAGAGAACTAAGAGCCAGAGATACAGATTTGAAGGTTGTAACCTATAGTTTGTATTTACAGACGTGGTACAGGATAGGAGCCCCGAGGTAAAAGGTATGGTTAGAGAAAAGAAGAGGGTCCAGAATAGAGCTTAAGGACACCTCATCATTTAGGAACTGAGCAGAAGAGGAGCCATGAAAAGACAATGCAAAGGAGCAGCCAGTAAGAAGAAAAATCAGGAAAGTATGGTGTCACAGAAACCAAGGGAAGAAGTGTATTTTTAAAAGGTGGGAAGTAGGGGCAGTGACCGTGTCAGATGGTGCTGAGGGGCAAGAAAGACTGGTGGGGGGAGGGGAATATGTATATATCATGAACACATATACAAAATGATGTACCAGTGGATTTCAGTGATCTGACAGTCAATGAATGGTGAGCTTAGCCTTGCCTACCCGAAAGGAGTGGCTGAGAAGAGAACGAGAGGAGCAGAAGTGGAGACAGTTACTGGAGAAAGCACTTTCCATGAGAAGAGATGCAGAGAAATGGGGCAGAGGCAGAGGGGAAGATGGGGGAAGTAAAGGGAAAACTGTTTGCTGTATTTTTTAAAAAAAGAAGGAGCACTAGAGCTCTCTTAATCACAGGCATGCTACTCCTCAACTTGAGTGGATAGAAATAAACTGACGGGAGCTATCAAGTGGGGCATGAAAAACGAACAACGCAGAAACAAGGGTAGAAAAATCAGGAGCGTGGTATCCTCAGAGGAGCAGTCTTTGATCACAGCTACCTTATTTCACTCCATTCCGTGTGCTTGACAATGCTGAATTTCACCATGAGCTTGAAACCATCACCCTTGCTATCCATCTCACCTAAAAAGAAATATCACAAAGACTTACCAAAATTTTATCCTGTTTTGACCTCACAGATGCTCCAAACCACTGGTGGGATTTAAATTCCAATGGATCATCCTTGGCATAATCTCTGTTGCCTAAAAAAAAAACAGAATCTTGTGAGAGATGAAAAACTAAATATTTTGGTCTTAGTATAAGAAAGTTTATTTCTGTCCAGCCAGGTTAGGAATGGTGTACCTTTGTTTAGTCAAATACTATATTCAGCAACCCAGAAAAACAAGATCCAGGGTTGCTCTGAACCCCAGCAAATATCCTAATTCACATGTGAAAAGTAACTGAAAATGATATTTCCAGTTACTAAATCATTACATACAACAAAATACTGTGATCTCTTATTATACTGCCAAAAGTTCTTTCTATGGCTTAAGGATATTTATGAAAAATCAAAGCTTATGAAACTCTTTTGTATGACACAGTTTGTAAATGACAAGGCTAAGATGAACACCAAGGACAGTATGAATCAAAAAGTTACAACCAGGAAATGCAATTTAACTGGCAGGAAACAGAGATCTGACATACTACATTCAAACGTTTATATTTCAGTACCTCACTATTGAGAAAGTCATGTCCAATGTGCCAGGAACTAATAACATAAAGCACTGTGGAAGTGTATAAATCCTTTCCTCAGAAAAACCCTAGATCTATTCAAGGAAAAAGTTATGAAAGTTTATGCACAAAGTATTCTGAGAAGAGATTATTTTTAAAGTCAGGTTTGTTCCTCTTAAATCTGTTGTCATTATTCTTTATTAATAAGTGTTTAAATAACTATATTGGACATTTCAGCAGACAAATATCCATTTTAAGAACGCCAGCCAACATGTAAATGTCATCAAGAGGTTTAGTGCAACCACCACCCACCCAAGATAGTGAAATTACTCACTAGTGGTTACGTTTGTAACTACTCTAACCACCATAGAACTAATAGTGGTTATGGTTATTCAATTCTATTCTGAAGACTTAAGACTAACTAAAGAGTTATAAATAATTATGGAGAATTTCAATAATACCAGGTATCCTATGTAAGGTGGAACCTGTAATGTTATTCACTATATTATTCTTTTAGCTTTTTCCTCTTCTGAAAAAAAAAAAGGTGTCAGTCTCCAAAGGCCTCAAACTGGAATCTAAACTACCAGGTTTTTTGGTCAGGGATTGCGAAGGCACCCTTTTTTAAGCAGAGAGAAGAAAGAGAAGAAATGGAAGTAGCTAATATGCACTATTGACCATGAAAACCAAGTATTCCCTTGGCTTGCCTCTGAAGCCTGCACTCTCTGTGCGTGAAATAACACACAAGTAACCTATATACCACCCGAGAGTACATGTGCTCCCTTACATTTCCCATCTTCCCACAGTTTAATGCAGAACTTTTAACTGTGTTGTCCCTAAGCTAGGAGAAGATAAAGCAGTTCCAGTCAGTAAAGAGTATTTGAGTCCTCTATGTTTTCTCTCCCATCCATGAGGCTGTTAGTCAAACTGCTAGATGAAAGCATCCTTGGTCCAAGTCTTTGGGTCACCCAGGACCCCTGTTAGATGGGGACATGAGCAAGCAATAATCTCTTTCCTTTCTTTCCTTTTAAGTACTGAGGGTAGAAACCAGTGTCTCAAGCATACCAAGCAAGTACTCCACCACTGAGCTCTATCCCAGCCTTTTTTGTATTTTATTTTATTTTGAGGCAGGATCTTGCTAAGTTGCTGAGCTGGTCTTGAACATGTGATTCTCCTTCCTCAATCTCCCAAGTAACTAGGGTTACAGGTGTATGCCACTACATGTAGCTAAGAAATAAATGACTTATTTTTAAGTAACAGACTTGGTGCGATGTTTGTAATTGCAAAATGTTTTCACTGAAATATAGCCTAGCACAAACTGCGTAGTGTGTACTAGACACATAATGCTATTTCCAACAGAGCCTGAATAATAACCACAAAGAAACATAGCCCTTAAAAGAACCAGATTCAATTGATAATGTTTTAAAATTTTTAATCAAATATTCACACTTATAGGGACTGGGGATTTAGCTCAGTTGGTAGATCACTTGCCTCACATGCACAAGGCCCTAGGTTCAATCCACAGCAACAAACACACACACACACACACACACACACACACACAAAGAATTCTATTTAAAAAAAAAATCATACTTACCAGTTACTTAATGGGAATTTTTTGTTTATTCCAACACAAGATAACTATGTTCTCTCACTTTGTTGTGGGCTTTCTATTCTTTTCTGTTTCTGTTTTATTCTATTCTATTCCAGAAATAAGAGTATTTCCCCTTCACATCAATGAAGCAGGAGAAACAGAGTATGACTGTGAAAAAACAGCTGACCTTAGAAAGAGTCCCCCCCACTAACTTGTATCTGAAGACAAAAAGCAACTCCATAAACTAAGAAAATCACAGCAAGTTTAAAAAGGGAACTGAGTTTCTAAGTTAGTGTACTTGAACCACAAGTAACATTCTTACAATTGCTACCTCCTGCTTTTGCTTTTATTTAAAACACAGACTTTTCAGCAATATGAAACTACTAAGATGTCCAAGCAGAAGTAAGACTTTTTTAAGAGTAGAAGAAATCATAGGTTGAACAGAACTGTCACATCAAAGAAGTTCAAACTAAGGCTCCATATATTTTCTTATACTCTAAAATTTCCAAGGTTAAAAAGAAAATGTACAATGGGATAGACCCAATATCACTACAAGATAGCTATGTGTGAGAGCACACATGTATCTTTTTCCCCTTAATAATATGTGAGAAATGATAAACTGATGTCATCATTTTCACTGTGGTTTAGTAACCCGTTACACAGCCATACAATTGTTTAACCAATCCCCTGTACCTCCTTCTGTTTCAAATTTGGGAATATTTCTGTTTTGATTTAAGAGACCAATATTCTCTCAAGTCACATCTACATCCTCCTCCATTTTACACAAGACCCTCAGCAAAGCATGTCATTCAGGGCAGGCATAGATTCATTGCTAGATTAAAGCGATAAGCTCCCCAAGAATATGGCATGTCAAACAGAATAGTGGATACGTTTCTGTTAAGTTTCTAAAGTATGTTTACTTTTATATGTAAGAGTTCCCTTCTTCTCAGTCTTCAGTCTGAAAGAAGTCATGCTCAGTCTTTTTTCAGAGGCCTTTTTCTCTTGCCTGGAAAACTTTATTCCTTCCATTCTAGATTCAAAGTGTACCTGGAAATTTAGCTGTGAGTGTCCACTTGTGACCTCACTGCATGATGAAATGGGCGTCTACCTCTCAATGTGTCTATGACAAGACACAATCATGGAACCTGCAATTATAGTGGACAAACTGTAGACTAGGGATGTGTCAGGAGTTATGGGGAAAGAGGACAGAGCATAAAGGAGAAAAATGCTTTGTAGGCCCGAAAACTTCATGCAAAGAAAGGAAGAGTGGTTAATACTAAAGTTTTATAGAGAAGTGTGCATTGTTCATTGTGATTAGAAAGAAACACCTAAAGAAGTCGTTGTCAAGGGCATCTGTGCTATGCTAAGAAGGGGCTTCATGGGATTTTTGAGTGGCCTCTATGCTAAACAATATTTCTCCAATTATTATATCACTAAGAAGTTGGGCAGAAGTTCCTGCTTTGCAAATTATTATTTAATTACTTCCCTACCACTTTGAAAAACTGTCTCCATAAATATTTTTCTGAACAAATATACTTTTCTCTAAATGTGTATGTAGTGGCATAAGATGCTGTTGTGCCTTGTCAAGTAGTTTGTGCTCATCAGAGGTACCATGCTCTATTTTCGGTTTTTTAAAAGACATGGTTAGAAAACATCCCTTGCTATAATGATTATTGGACACCTGTCTTTGAAGATATCAGGCTTAGCATAAGCTAGAAAGTGTCATAAAAAATAAGAATAAATTTTATTATTATATTTTTGCTTTTATATGCATTCACAAGTATTATGGAACAAAAAGAATCAATAGTTATTTCTACATGGTAATTAATAAAAATGAAGACACACAGAGGTGGAAAAGCATCAGACAATGTAATTCTCTTTGATGAAAAAGTAAGTTTAGCCAGGCGTGGTAGCACACACCTATAATCCCAGTGGCTCGGGAAGCTAAGGCAAGAGGACTTTTGAGTTCAAAGCAAGACCCTGTGTCAAAATAAAATATTTTAAAAAGGAGTTGAGGATGTGGCTCAGTAGTTAAGTGTCCCTGGGTTCAATTCCTAGTACCAAAACAACAACAACAATAAAAAAACTTAAAAAAAAAAAAAAAAAAAGCATCAGGACTAGAGTTGTAGCTCAGTGGTAGAACATTTACCTAGCCCGTATGAGGCACTGGGTTCAATTCTCAGCACCACATAAAATAAATAAAGGTACTGTGTCCCCCTACAACTAAAAAAAAAAATTTAAAAAAGCAAAGCATCACACAATGTGACTCTTTTTAATAAAAATGTAAGTTTAAAAAGCTCATTCCAAAAACAATGTACCAAAACCTAAATTCCATCTGTAGCACCATGGTGGGCAGGGATGAATTTTAAAAGTAAACTTGAGGAATTTGACTAAAACTTAAATCTGCTCAAAACCAACAGCCATATTTTAAAGCACCGTGTAATTAAATATGTTTTCAATTACATTACCAAATGAAAGAAGTCAAACATAACTGGATATAATGAATTAGCATGCATTAGCACCCAAATTTATTCAACAGTCTTCAAAAAAGAAAAAAAAAATACACACACACACAATCACACACTGTTTTCAATGCCTCCAGATTCAACAGTCACAGCCTCAAATTAACATCTTTTCATGAAGTGCTCAAAAGGAAGGTTTTCTTTACTAACCAGAATTTTCTTTTCAGCTATCTTCAAATATTTGATTCAACATCAGCAAAAGTTTCCCTCAAAGGACGTATGAACAGAATGGGTGGGAGAAAGAAAAGGAAAAACTCTCTCCAAACAAACTGACAAGAAGTTCATTCATGACCTGCCTGAAAACTGGAAGCTATTCTGGGACACATGAGTGAAGTCAATATTTTGAGTCAGCCCTGAGGTCACCATTTTGGGTGATGTTGGAACTCCCCAGACTGCCTGGGGTGTGCCACCGCCCTGG